CATCGTTTTTAGGTTATTGATTATTTGGCCAAAAAGGGCTACAGCCGCACAGAAGCAATGTTGCGCATGGAGTCTGCCAACCAGGAGATTGATGGACGTCCACTCCCTCAGCTTGGGGAAGATTCTCGTCCCAAGACTAGACAAGGCTTTGGTAAGCTGGGTAGTCCACCCAGGTGATTCAACATACCCACTAATCCAATTCTAGATTTACTGAAGAATTGGGTTGAGGAAAATCTTGATCTGTACAAGGTGCGACAAACAAAGAGCGACTTGACAACTCGACGCTAATTCTCTCACAGCCTGAACTTCGGCGTGTTCTATGGCCGCTCTTTGTCTATTCTTTTTTCAATATGGTCACTTCCTTCTATCCCCAGGATGCGAAATCGTTCTTTGAAACCAACAAGAACATGTTCCTTCCTGAGCATACCGATGACGTCCGCCATTTCGAGCCTATCAGCCTACCGGAGCACCTGCAGGACAACTCCGTTGCTAAGCTTTACCGAAACAACAAATACCGCGTTGTGTTGAGCAACCCCGCTTACACCAATCTTCTCCAGTTCCTGGAAAGCAAGGATAAAGAGGGAGGTTCTGTCATGAACGCAATTCTCAGCAGTTTTTGCTCAGTGAAAACTTTAGACAGAGCAGCAGATGACCGATTCAGTTTCGCTGCCATGTTGAACCAGATTAATGCTGACCAGACCTTCCCTGCTGAGGATGAAGGCATTCCGGGACATCACCCTGGGTCAGCTTATACCGGTGACAACCCGGCCATGGCCGGTACACTTCCCCGCTTGAAGCTCGGAAGACTCGCTATGGAGCAACTTCTAGAGGAGGACGTGCGGGCCGAACTGGCTGAGGAAGATATGAAACAACCTCCTGCCGCTGGCCGTAACACGCTCATTCAGGAGTTTGACCAAATGATTAAAAATGAAGACGACGACGAAGCTCCTAATCGAGCAGATCTTCCTTTCCCTCAATCCACTGCTCGTGACGTCCATATTGAGGTGAAGAAAGTCATGGAACATCGCGACCGGTTCGAGATCAAGGCTCGCACAGGTGGTGTCGGTCCTGGACTCAGTGTGTGCATGTTCACATTCCACAACACTTACGATGGGTATTTTCACCCGAATTGTCCTTGCGATACAAAGCTTCACTAACAAATTCACAGAGTTAGTTGCATGGACTTTTCAGATGACAGCCAGCTTGTTGCCGTCGGATTCCAGCAGTCATATATCCGAATCTGGAGCCTTGATGGCACGAACATTCAAGCTGCCGACCCTGACTTTGATAACTCGCCACCTGCCAGCTCGCGCCGTCTTATCGGCCATGCTGGTCCAGTCACTGCCGTTGCATTCCAGCCGTGCGCGTCTGCTCGCGAGGGCCTTTCGGGGAATGATAAGGTTGCCACCAATGCGCGCTGGTTGCTTTCATCATCCATGGACAAAACAATTCGCCTTTGGTCTCTTGACAGCTGGCAATGTATGGTCGTATACAAAGGGCACGACCACCCTGTTTGGGACCTAAGCTGGGGACCCTTTAGTCATTACTTTGTCTCCGGTGGATCTGACCGGACCGCCCGTTTGTGGGTTAGTGATCAAATCCGCCAACAACGTATCTTCGTCGGTCATGATCATGATGTGGATGTTGTTTGCTTCCATCCCAACTCGGCCTATATTTTCACCGCCAGCTCTGATCACACTGTCCGCATGTGGGCTGTTTCAACTGGTAATGCTGTCCGCATGTTCACTGGCCACACTGGCAACATCACCGCCATGGAGTGCAGTCGTGATGGAAAGCTTCTAGCATCTGCTGATGACCAGGGTTGCATCTTCTTGTGGGATCTTGCTCCTGGTAGACTGCTGAAGCGCATGCGTGGTCACGGCAAGGGCGGAATCTGGTCAATCAGCTGGAGCGTGGAGTCTACGGTGCTGGTTTCCGGTGGAGCTGATGGCACCGTGCGAGTTTGGGATGTTGCAGGCTCCCAGGAAACTACTCAAGGTGGCCGTATCATCGGTGAAACGGGCACTGGAACCAGACTGGATGCAGCAACAAACCCCTCGACAAGCCAAACCAAGAAAAAGAAGGGAAAAGACGTCGTTGTCACAGCCGACCAAATCAGCGCTTTCCCGACTAAGAAGTCTCCTGTCTACAAGGTCAAGTTCACCAATATGAACTTGGTGGTTGCTGGTGGTGCCTATTTGCCTTGAATTGGCACCTAGGTCCGCTTTTCTTGCCGTCATTCCCGCCTTTTTTTTTCCCCTCTCAGAATACCCTTACTCCTCCTTGTATTATCATATCTCTTTTCACGATCCGCGCATGACGATTCCGTTTGATGGAATCCCGGTGGCGTTCGGAATCTCGAAAACTTGATTCTCGGTGTTTGTCTATGGAGAGGCACGAACCATGTACCGTGCCCAGCAGCTCTTTTTCTCCTGTTTCTTTGCTCTATGTTCATTACAGCGTGGTGGCATGAACCCTCGGACTGAGGGCTGGACTCCTGGCTGCCCACCCGGGCCCAGGGATAATATCAACCAGCACGAAATTGAAACGCTTTCTGCCTAACTAATTTTTATTTCCGTACATGGGAGTCGCTTAATTCCATCCATTGTATGCGTAATCACCTTAAAGAAAGTTGCTAATAGATCAGGCCTTTGCCCAAGAAGGACATGTTGACATCTATGAATGGCCTTTCATTGGATATTATATCTCACCTCAAAACACCGAGACAAATCACAAGATACTATCTCATGTGCCCTGTAGAGCCACCAGGAGCACCAGTCCCCTTCTTCATCGCCGCTGATGCCTGCATATCTGCCACCTTGGGCGGAAGCACCAATGCGCTCCGGTCGTTTCGTCGGTAAAAGTCCGCCAGAATCTGCGCGGTCTTCGCAGGTTGGTCCTCATGAACGAAATGACCTGCTTCAGGGAAGACCTGGAGTTGGTATTTGCCTATGGTACTGAAGTGAGCATGACGTCCGAGAATTACAGATGGCTAACAGATAGATTTCGAACCCCGTACCTTGCATCTGCCCGATCATCAACTCTTTGTCTAATCTGTCGGTTCCAGCAAGTAGTAGCAGCTTTCCACCTCGTGCATCGAGGAACTTTCTACTCAGGCCAACAAACCAGTTTTCCCAGAAAGGTTTCGTTGCGGAGAGGTTGGTGCGCCACACCCACGGACGGGACGGGTCGCTAGGCTCGTTTTCTTCAAATAAGAGGGAAGGAACCGAGGCGCGAGCGGAAATGGTGTTCCGGATTGTGCGGGAGCGAGTGCTTGTGTCATTGATTAGCCATGATGGAAAAAAGCACAGTCGAGATGGAGACGTACTGCCATTCAATTCCAGATGAAAGGGTTGAGAATCGGGTTGGGCGGGTTGAAAGATATTTCTCCATACTCTGGAGGGCATCTATCGCAGACCCTATCGAAGAAATATAGATATTAGCGTATGATAGACATCAACCAGACGGCGAGAATACCTTCAACTACGTCAAGTACCGCGTACGCCAATAGCTTCGGGCCCAGCTCTCCTTTCTTCGCGACATCTGTAATCACCGCACCACCTAGACTGTGCCCAACTAGAATGATATCAGGTAGCTTCTCCCAGCCCATCCTAGTCTGTGTTTGGTAGATGACATGGACTAGATCCCGACTCAGAGTCTCAAGACAAAGGTCAAGCTCAACCTGCCCCGAGGATTCAGCCTGGGCTGCCGCTGATGTAGACGGAGTTCCATCGCCCGCCTTACTATTCAGTGTGGTCACGACGGTACGGCCATGGCTTCGAGCATCCAGTGACAAGATCCCCGCCTTTGGGAGGATCTTCCGAATCTCTTCTGCGCACGTCGCGAAGGAAAGCCCGGATGAACCGGCCCCATGGTGCATGATAAAAAGAGGGCCTGATTCAGATGGCGGTGTTAAATAGACATGGTGCACAATATGAAGATTATCCACATCCTCTGGCAGGAAGAGCTCCTGGTCAAAGAAGTCTGCCCATGTCAAAGAGGGTTGAGATGATAGTCTATGGTCTTACATTAGCTTTATTTCTCAACATTCATCCGGCATGATTCAAGTCGCCAATTGGTTCCAATTCGAACCCATGGAAATTGCCGGAGTTAACGAACCGTCGGCCCGTTCGGGCGAAAAGCTGTCGCGTGTGGGACGGGACCATCGTCCCGGTTGACGACAGCGACGACGTCGACGAGTCGTCCTCCCATGTATCCTCTGACTGGCTCATTGATTCAGGCCTTGGTGCTTCTGGTGGAAACTTGGCCAGTTTTGACTTGACAAATGATTTCTGAAAGTCACTCATTTCAAGTGGATACCGCGGCTATGTCGATCAAAAGGAGGGGTGCACGGCAGAGGGCTGTTGGATGTGCGTTCGTTTCCGTTTAGTACCATCAAATTCTCAACGCGAAATGGCTTTTGGTAGAAATAAAATCGAGTTCATTCACATCGGATGACTGCTGTGTCGGCAGCTACTGCTGACTAATCTCATCGCTGGTCTTCCCTGCCGTCAATTCCCTTTGATGGGCATCTTAGCGTTGCCATTCATCGATTGGCCTGAGTCGTACGGCTGCCATACGCTTCGCGATCTGACGGGCGTATACCCTAGCCCTTCTTCTTCTACACTTCGAGAGGTCTATGAAATCAATCTAGATACACTAAATGACCTAACAGAGTTACGGAGTAGAGAACTGTCGAGATTAACATAGATACGGGGTGGTAGATAAATAGGGGGCCAACCAAAAGTGAGAGAAGCTTATGTCCAAAAAAACATCAGAGAAAATAAAATCGACAGGCAACAGATGCCAGGAGTTGCAGTAACCAATTTAAATGTGGCTAGCACTAGGAAGGCCTCCCTCAACTAAATGCACAAGTTTGGACACAGCTCAGGTTCGACAAAAATTCTATTGTATGCTTCGCTTCGCTCACGTCTCTTCCCATCAAAAATAAAAGTGCCCGAACAGGAAAGGCTACAGCGTCAATACCTTCGCCGTGAACTCTACCACATGTTCTCTAGCTTGGAAATAGTCACATATGAGCTCTCTCGGGCAATCCTCTCCGACAAAGCCCTCAAGGGCTGCGATCCTAGAAACTCGAAGGATGATAATTCAGCCCCCATCTCGCGTGAAACCCAATTTTGGACTTCGACTGCCTTGAGGGAATCGACTAGAAGAGTTAGGATCGCTGAATGGCACAAAAAGAGAATAAAAAAAAGGTCCACTGGACTCACCTCCCAAGGCAGATAGAGGCAATTCTGGGTCAATTGAGTCAGACGAGGCAGCCATGGCACTCGCTAGATACTCCTGCAACCCCTGAACAACGACGTGTATAGCCTCGTCAATAGAACCGGCCCTCTTGAGCAGGGAACTAGTCTTAACGGAGCCAGTACCTGTGTTGGCAGGGAGCGGCAAGATTCGATGATCAAACTTGCGGTCGTAGTGCCACGATGCACCTCCCTCCCGAGACAAATTGTCGGTCAATCCTGCAATGATCTGCGCCGGTACCGGCACCTGGCGATGCAGAATCAACCGCAGTAGTGTCTGCAGCTCGTGAGTAAGGATCTCCGTGCCTTCCAAATGACTATATCGTCGGCGACGCTGTTCAGGCGACTCAGTAACATCACCCACTCCACTCGCGTCGGGAACCAGGCCAATATTGATACTGTTTCCTGGGAGCCCATGAGCTCGTCGCCAGTTCATCAGCTCATCCATGAACGCATTGCCCGCAGCATAGTTGGACTGTCCTATGTTGCCGACCACACTAGCGACAGAAGACAAGGTGACGAAGAAATCCAATTCTTCGTCGGCTAGGAGGCGGTGCAAATTGAGGGTTCCAGAAATCTTGGCCTCAGTGGAGAGCTTCCAATCTTCGAATGTCAATTTCTCAAACATAGCATCCTTTCGTATGTCAGCCTGCCTGCCCTTGACAAAAGACAAAAAAGCAGTTAACTTACCTTGAGCACTGTTGCACACTGTAAAACACCTTTGACCTGCCACTTATTCTCGCGAACTTGGGCAACGAGTTTCCGAACATTGTTCTCCATGGAAATGTCGCAGCGTATGACGTCGATTTGACAGCCCTGGCTCGTGAGCTTGTAAATAGCCGGTCTGAAAGCATCTTGTATGACACCTGAACGCGAAAGAAACACAAGATGACGTGCGCCGTTTTCGACAAGAGTGCTAGCTGAGGCCAAGCCCAGCGTGCCAATTCCACCGGCCAGAATGAAGGTATGTTCACGGGGCAGGTATACATCATCCATTGGTAGAGCGGGTTCAATGAGCACATCACCAGGAACAGTGAGATTTATAGTTGCTCTTGAACCGGTATTGTGAGCATGGTCTTTTGCATCGGTCCATTCGGCAACGGGGAAGACGCTGGTGGGATGGAGGCAATGTTGGGAGCACACGGCAGCCATAGCGCGACGGAAAGTGGAGTAGACCTGATCAGCTTGCTCCTTGAACAGGATGTTCAAGTTTAAATAGGAGAAGGTGCAGCCTTTCTCTAGGAATGAGTTAGGTAAAGCCGCCGGTGTCATGTCCCCGCTGATATCAACATAATGCCCCCCAAGGCGCAAGCTCTGAGCGGCGAGTCGGCCAGTGGAGCCACCAATACATGATACAACAGCAGATACACCTTTGCCGCCCGACAAGTGACCGATTGTCGTATGAAGGGCGCCGTCAACGCACATGACGCGTTGGGGTGGAACTGGATACTGAGAAATGACTTCGTCGGCGTCCACCACAGTTGTTGTCGCCACGTAAACTTGCATTCCTGGGACCATGAGAGCACAGTTGAGGATTGCCCGCAGTGTTTGGCTAAGGGGCCCAACCACGAGGAAACAGTCGTGCGGGCCGAGGCGTGCGGTATCAAACAGAGAGGTAAACGCTAAGGTATAGGCCAGAGGGACTGACGCTGACTGCTCCAACGTCAGTCCCGTTGGAAGCCTCGCAATGGCAGATATAGGGACTCGCACACGGGTTGCTAGCGCGATTTCTAATTCACTGCCAGGCTTCAGCAGGACAACCGTGTCTCCCACCGCGAAGTCTGCGGTTGCCGCACCTCCTAGAGCTTTTATGGTTCCGACTGCTTCAAGAGCGTTTATTCCCGCTTCAGGCGTTTTGCCCGAAGACTCATCTGGCAGTGCGATAGTTTGCAGTTGCACTTGCACTTCAACCTGATCGTTTGGTAGCGGAGCCACCAAGTCAGAATCCTCTACCCAATGGCCACGCTGGGTGTCCTGGGGGTCTCGCTGCAAACGGAGAGGGCGTCCATCATTACAGAGATGGCCCAGAATAGGCTGAGGACCATAGAGTAAAGTATCCATTGCCTTGTCCACCTGCTCGGCAGCAATCACCCGCGGTACCAGGATACGACCATCCTGGAACCGGAACTCCTGGTCATGGCTGGACCGATTGACCGGAGAGAGGGTCAGTTGCATTACGTGTAAGATACTCTGGGCAAAAAGGTGCTCATCACCAGCTTTCAGAGTTTCGAACTGCAGCTGTGGTAAAATTACACCGCGGTTTTCGTTGCGCAGCGTGCGAAGGAGTCCAGTGGTAGCGCCAAATGCAGCAGCACCAGCATCTTTGGCTGAAGCAGTGCTAGGAGAAATCCATAAGACATAATTGGCATCCAAAAGGGCCTGGAACTGCGCCATAGATTCTGCAGTCCAGGATGAAACCCATGGATGTTCAAGCTCGAGTAATGAGATGATCGTTTTGCCGACGAGATTTCCGACGTCCTGCACACTGACGTGACATATTCTCACGCAAATGGTGTCAAATATCTGCTCCAAGTCGAGTTTTAAAGTGTTAGGCATTTGCTCCGGATGCACCGTAAGCAGGTATACCGTCGAATCGAAGGACACGGGTCTAGTCTCTCGACGAGCGAGAACGAACCCTCCACGCCGCGTGAGACCCGCTCATACCCAGGTCGAGGATTTCTCGACATGGCTCAAAATATCCGATTCTGCAGCAGAGGTATGCAGAGCCAACCAGCCATCAGACTGAGCGATGGAACTAAATGTGGCAAGATTCGTTTCAATATCTGCAGCAGTCCGGATACTTGGTGTATCTACCAACACCACATCGAAAGATTTTTCATCCGCCAAGGCTGAAGAAAGGTTCTGTAGTGTTGCAATCTGTAGCACTTGGGCACTGGGAAGTAGTTCTTGAACTGCAACGGTCTGAGCCTGCGTAAGTGCATCTGTGCCTAACAGGACTACGGTGAGCTCCTGCAGACAGGACCGGTGGCATTTAGCCGGCATTAAGGGCTGAACAGCTTTTATAACCCGGCTGCTTTGGTCTGGTTGAGCGATAATGAGGGCTCGGACATCACCGCAGGTGTGACAGATGCGTTGCAGCCATTCGGATAGATGATCGTTGCCGGTTTGGCCGCCTACCGCATCCCACTTCGAGAATCTCGGATGCTCTATCCAGGAAATAGACGAATAATGGCTGATTTGGCTTTGGTCTGTAGCGCCAGCCGATTTCTTGGCTATTGGAACCCGACCGAGCCGAATGCCCTGTAGTAGAACAGTTGGCCGGCTCCAAGAGGCATCTGAAGCCATTGAGTCTGAACGTAATCCACCCGCATCTTGAGAACGAGTTGTAGTATAAATGTTAAATCGATCCCCGGCCTGAAAATCTATGTCAGTCGGCAGGTAGAGCTTCTCAACGCCGACCGGGATATTGGCATTTTGGTTGCCGAGTCCACCCGAACAGCTCAAAACCGCAGCCTGAAAGAGGGCATCGAGTGAGGTTGGATGCATGAAGTAGGCAGATTCCCGCTCATGGGACATCAGCCGCTTGGTATCGGGCACGACACCCTCAATCCATAGGCGAGGCTGGCTCTTGCAAAACAAAGCTCTGGAGATAGACCTGAAGGTAGGTCCCAGAGAAACACCCCCGGTCTTAGAGAGCCACTCATAGACAGCTTCAGCTTCGGTCTCGGATACAGCATCTTCCATGTTGCTGAAATGCTCTGTAGTTCGGCTCCAGTCTCTCGTGCTTATAGGGATACCCTGGTAATCGTGATGCATCACAAATGTGCCAACTGCATGCTTGATCCACGAGGCTCCCTTGGGCAACGAGAATAGGCCAAACTCATACCAACCTCGAACACCATGATGTGGTGCCACGTGAAGGACTATTTCAAGGCCGCGTTCGTCATCTGGAATAACGACACCCTGTAAGAACGAAAGGTCGTTGAATTCGATCCCTTTTAGTATTTCTTGGCTACTTGCTAGCTGACGCACAGCTTCGGCTACTAGTGCAACCATTCCTGCGGCTGGAAAGATGATGGAGCCGGCGACGACGTGATCCGATAACCATGGCATCTCGGAAACCCGAAGGAAGTTGCGCCAACGTGGCTCTATGTCATTCTGATACTCCCACGGAACACCGAGTAGATCATGACGAGGTTCTTTACGCCGCCAGAGCCGCGCTGATGCCACCGGCTCGTGCCAAAAGGAGGATTTGTGATTCCATGGGTACGATGGCAAGTCGGTGACGAGACCTGGGGTCGAACAGCTGATGCTAGAATTAACGGCTGCAATGTCTATCGTGGTACCAAGACTCCAGAGGAGCCCCGCGGCTTGTAGAGCAGTTTTGACGGCATCTGTATCCCGCTGAATGAGACCTTGGTAAGGTAACGCTGCCAAGCTACCATCAACGGAATGTAGGGTTTGGGTGAAAGGACCCTTTAATGCTTCATGCGGGCCAATCTCAAGGAAAGCGCCCCACTTCACAGGCACTAGGCGACGGCGTCCCTTGCGGGCCTCGGCCATCGTAGCTAACTTTGAGACCGCGGAGGCGAATTCTACGGTGCTGACCATGTTTTGTACCCAGTAGGCTGCACCCAAGTCTTTCGCGTGCACGCGCTCTGTCGTAACAGATGAAAACATAGCAATCGTGCCCTGGCGACCCTCTTGCGGTAGGATGCACTGTAGTGCTTCTTTGTACTCATCGGCCAAGTCGTACATATGTGGAGAATGATACGCCGTCTGGACCCGTAGCTTACGTGCGAATAACTTGTCAGCCTGAATCAGCTTTTCCAGCTGTTCAATCCGATCAGTATCTCCCGAGAGAGTGACACTTTGGGGGCTGTTGACACATGCTATTACAACAGATCCTAGAGGCATGGTGTTGATATACTCCTGGGCATTTGCAGCGGATATTCCAGCCGCCAACATGCCTCCTCTCCGTCCGTTTTGGGATAGCCGTAGAGATAGTATGCCCCGGAAATATGCAACGCGGATGGCGTCTTCATGAGTAAGGAAGCCAGCCGCGTATGCTGCGCCTATTCAATTCGTGAGTCCCAAAGCATTGATAGGCTAGAAAACCAGATGAGGATTCATTTTCTTACCTATTTCACCGCTGGAATGGCCCACGGTAGCTTTTGGGTGCACTCCCCAGCTGGCTAAAAGATCCACTAGGGCAATCTGCAAGGCACAGCATATTGATTGACTCCTATCGGGCTGATTTATGTGTGAAGAGGCGCCATCCGCCTCAATTTCCTCGACCAATTCCCAGGTGCAACCGAGACTCGAGAGAAGTTGCTGACTGCGTTTCACGCTCTGCGCGAAAATAGGGACTCTAAGGAGACTTCGACCCATTCCTGCCCACTGAGCTCCTTGTCCGGTAAAGATAAAAGCCAAGTTAGCATGGGAGGTCCGACTGGCCCGCGAGAAATGTGGTAGTCCCTGGTTTAGTGCATCAAGCAGCTCGGTTACAGAATCGGCCACTGCAAAGCTGCGGAAAGCCAATTGTGAGCGGCGGGTGCCCAATGTATGGGCGATATCCCGCAGTGACTCACCATTTCCAGCATCACTCAGAGTGTGAAGAAATGGCGTCCATTTCCGGATTATCCGGTCGATACCATCCTTGTCAGATGTGGAAAAGACAATCACCTGCGGAATCTTTTCCTCTGAAGTAGCAGTCACTTTCCTAGAAGAGCCAAAATATTCGGAGGCGCTTTCAATAATTGCGTGGGCATTCGAGCCACCAAAACCAAATGAGTTTATACTGACACGCCTGGGGAGATGCGGAGGCCAATGAATAGTCTCATCACTGAGTCGAAGCCTCCATTCGTTGAGATGAATCTTTGGGTTAATTTGAGAAAACCCTGCGTTTGGAACAAGAAAGCCCTTTTCAACACAGAGCACCGCTTTGATCAAACTTGCCACACCGGCTGCGCCTTCCGTGTGACCGATATTGCTCTTGACAGATCCGACATAAATGGGCATGTCATCGATGGATCGAGCAGCTCCTAGGGTGTCTCCAATAGCTGACAACTCATTTGGATCCTATAGGGATGAAGGCTCAGTGTCAACAGCCTGCTAAAATATTCCGGTGGTGAAAATCCAGTAGAATACTTACGCCAATCTCGGTGCCGGTCCCATGAGCTTCAAAATAAGTAGTCGCTCGCATAGAAAGTGAGCTTGAGCCATAGACCGTTCGAATCAGATCAGCCTGTGCTGCGCGATTTGGCATTGTAATACCCGGAGTGCGGCCATCTTGGTTCGTACCAGTGGCACGGATGACAGCCCGAATGGCATCTTTGTCTTCTAAGGCTCTGCTAAGGGGCTTCAACAAGACTGCACCCAGCCCTTCGCCCCGCCCGTAGCCATTCGCTTTCTTGTCAAAAGAATGGCTAATACCGTCAGCACTCAACATATGCATATATGAGAGGCGCTGCGTGAAGTTTGGGTGAAGAATAAGGCTAGCACCGGTGATAAGGGCCTACTTTGCAATGTTCTTATCAGATATCTATCAAAATCTCCGAAGAATTGAGAAAGCAACTTACCATATCACACTCACTAGCATGCAAAGCCTGAGTAGCTAGATGAAGAGCTGTCAAGCTAGAGGAGCAAGCAGTGTCGAGCATCACGCTCGGGCCCCGCAAATCAAAGAACCATGATAGTCGGTTGGCTAACATTGTCCTCCCGTTTCCAGTTGCCGAGTTGTGTGGCATATCATAGATATCACTGGTTGATAGCAATTCATAGTCATTTGTCATACAGCCAGAAAAGACCGCCGTTCGGCTACCGGAGAGAGTCTCTATGGGCATGCCACCTATGAGAAATTCGTTAGAAGCTTCTTGCCTCACAATTTCACTGAGTGATTGAGATAAACACCATTTTCGAAGGCTTCATAAGCTACCTCCAAGAGCAGGCGCTGTGCAGGGTCCATGCCAGCCGCTTCTTTGGCAGTGATGGAAAAGAAAGGGGCATCAAACCGGGATGGGTCTTCTTCCAAGAAGAATCCACTATCATGGTTAATCTTGAAGTCACTTGAATTAGTTCTCAACGCCGAATATACTTGTCGTTGTATTGACATACTGCCCCTTTACGATCGTGGCTCGGATGGTGCCAGCCCGATGGCTCATATCGGCTCGAAGGGACCTTGCAGTGGCCTGTCCGTCCTCGTAGTAGCATATCCCAAAAGCCATCTATAGAAGAGGCTTGTCCAGAAAAGCGGCAACCCATACCAATTACTGCAATTGGCTCAGGGCCCATTTCTGGCTGTTCAACAGGCATGATTACACAGGTTTTGTTGAAACCCCTTTGATAGAAGCTTACTTGAAGGCGATGTACAATCAAATGAATTGTCAGCGTTGATGAAAATCTAGATTCCAGAATCAGCCGAGGTGATCCTTTATACAGGTGTCTAGGATAGTGGATTTGGACCAACCGTGAATTAATATCCCAAGCTACTGCTGAAAATTTCCCAATGCCATAAAGTTGTAACATCATGATCAGAACCACTAAAAAAGTCTCAGTAATATGAGCTGTTGCACAACTTCCCTTTTTCTTGTTTCCGCCATTTGCGCGAGTGAACAGATGATGGGTGCGCAGCGTCTTTGAGATCTGAGCCACGTTTCCTTGTAAAGGCGACCAGATCAACGTCCTGGGTTCATCCTGTTACCATGCTTGGTAAACTGAGGGTCGTACAGAACGATTTAATTTTTGTCCACGGCATCATAGTGATCTTATGTGGCTGAAGGACTATCTGACAGCTGAGAGGAATAAATCGGGTGACTGAACATCATCTCTCTCTTGTTGAAATCATTTCCATACGATAGAGGATTTCTTTTCATCACATCCAGTGGAAAGGGGTTCTACCTGTGATTTCTACAAAGAGTTCCTCGCCTCTGGCCTCGCACCAGTAGACCTGCAGGAAGATTCGTTCCACAGATGTGGGGCAGATTTTGGTCTGTCAACAACCACTGCATTTATAGACGGACGTCGTGGGTTGTGGTGTACACTCCATGAGTTATCTGTAGATGGTGAATCGTCAGATTTTCGCGACTATTATTTTATGATTGAGCCATCGGCATGAATGGTTGAATCGGGTCCGGTGAAACAGCGTCATCTCGCGTATCTATGAGGCCGGCTTGACACCCAGTTCTGGAATATCACAGTTTAGTGAGGAAGCTAAACCATGCCACAAACAAGCAATATGACTGCTATCCAAGCTATCACCGTCCAATTACATGGCCATGCTGAGCTGCGCCCCTTTCTATTTCCGGAATAACCGAACCATTATATCTTGTGACGATTTACTCGCAGAAGAACCAGTCGTACATGTACGACCTTGGCGCAGAAATCATCTTAGATTATCACGATCCACAGGTAGGCGATTCAATTCGTGATTTGACGGATGATTCCCTAGACCTGGTGTTGGATATTGTTTCCACTCCACAATCGGCCGCCATTTGCGCCACCGCGATCTCCTCCACCGGAGGTAGTAACCCAGCACTACTGGACATTTGTTGCCCCCGCACAGATATCGAAACCCAAGTGTCGATGGCTTATTACGCAATGATTGGGAAGAGATATTCGATGGGTAAGACACAGATTGAAGGTGCAGCAAAGGACTTTGATTTTGCAGTCCAGTGGGCCAATGTTGTCGAGATCTAACTCTAAGATCGCCGCAATCATCCACACCGCTACCAAATAATGCTCCGTAGCCTTTACTTTAGGGGATTTCCGATGAGCTTCTGCTGCTGCGTGATGGGAAGGTGCGAGCATCCAAACTGGTCTATTGCGCGGATGAAACAGCAAAAACACGGAGCGAACCGCTTTAGAGCGCCGTTCTTAGACCAGAAATCGGGAGATAGGGTTTTTATCATCTAGATACTATCAGACTCCCGACGGGTTTATTTGATAGATCGGAGCGCATTTAGCGTCGTTTCGGGTTAGGTACTTGTTGTGCTATTATTCTCTATGAAGGACTTGAAAATCACAAATTAAGAAAATGTAACTTTTGGAGGTGGCAATGGTTTCAAAATCCTCAATTTTATTTTTGGGGCTTGAAAGTCTTCAATCCTCTGTGAAGTCATGGTCAGGGTTTCACTCACACCAGAGACTAGAAGCCTATTCGGAAGTTGATCCGTATGAAAGTACATAAAATAGATCCCTGAGATCCATAAGAGTTGGCTCACACATCAAAACTAATGCAATAAATCACGCGGAAGTCAAAGATCGACGACAAATGTGACACAGCCTGATATTGTTAGCTACGTGGTGCATTTCCCAGGACTCCCAACAAAGGTTAAATACCAATATCATTGACCTCTTAGCAGTTCTGGATTTAAGTCGTCCAATCTGATCTACCTTTAATTTGATCTTATCCAGATCTCATATTGGAAAATGGCGTTGGGACCTGTGGAAGGCAGGCTTCTCACCCAAGTCTTGGACGACCTCGCCCAGAAAAGCCCCAATTCTCTCTATTGCATTCATCCTGTCTCATATGGCAGCAAAGAAGACTGGCGTGAAATTTCATTTGGGGAGTTTGCCTTAGCAGTCAATCGACTGGCTTGGTGGATTACCCAAAAGCTGGGTGGCCAGGGGCAGCGAACGGTTTTGGCCTACATTGGCACCAATGACTTGAGATACGGGGCATTCATGCTAGCATGCATGAAGACCGGACATACAGTGAGATAACTTAGACCCCTGGATTGCATCATCTAATCCCATACTGTAGTCTTTGATGCTTTCGACAAGGAATTCTCTACAGGCGCATCGGCATCTTCTAGCGGCCACCAAGTGCTCCGTGCTCGTTGATGGAAGCGAAAAATCCCAATTAAGATACATGCTTGACGAGCTGCAAGCAGCTTGTACCGATTCCCCGCTTGAACGCTGGCAGATTGGCCCCATGTGGGATATTTTTGCATCAGATCCTGTTCCTTCTTATCCACACACGGTGAACTACGCAGATGTTGAGGATCTGGCCGCTATCATCATCCACAGCTCCGGTACTACGGGGAATCCCAAGCCCGTAGTCGTGACCCATGGGTACCTGGCAACCATCGATAATATGCAGACACTGCCTGTGCCTGAAGGGCGGCAGACTGCTCAAATGTTTTTGCTCCAACAAGGCCAACTACGTTTCTTCCACAGTCCACTATTTCACTTCATGGGACTGGTATGTATCGCCGAGTGTCTCTATTTCAAAACTCCCTTTTTACTGGCACCGGATCGTCCACTGACCACGAGTCTGTTTGTTCACATCATGAACAAAGAAAATCCTCCCGTATGGGGGCTGCTCACACCATACACTCTTGAGACACTGGCTGCCTCTGAGGAAGGGTTGCAAGCTCTGGCTAAGCTTTCCGCAGTCAACTATGGCGGTGCACCCATGGGACAAGCTACTGGAGAGAGGCTATCTTCCATAGTCATATTGCAGACTTTGATTGGGAGTAGCGAAACCAGCTATACGCCCACACTACTCTGCGAAGATCCTGCCGATTGGGGTTATCTTGAATGGAACCCAGCATTTGAACTGCGAATGGAAAGCGTTGGTGACGATTTGTGGCAGTTGATCTTGCCCCGTCCAAAGACACGCCAATATCATGGAATCTTCCACTCATTTCCACATCTTACACAATATCGAACCGGTGATTTGTTTCGGCCCCATCCATCCAAGCCTGGATTGTGGCATTATGAAGGGCGAAGCGATGATGTCATTGTTTTGAAAAATGGGGAGAAATTTAACCCTACTGCCGCTGAAAAGCTGGTGGAATCCCATCATCTCATCAAACACGCGGCTATATTTGGTCAGGACCGTTTCCAGGCAACTCTGCTGCTTGAGCCTGAGTGGAAGCAGCTGCCTTCGGCATGGACACCCGACTGGCTGAAACTAACGCTTTGGCCCTTGGTTGAAAAAGCCAATTCCCTCTTGCCCGGTCACGGAAAGATTTTTGAAAGCCATATGGTCATTGCATCCAGTGATAACCCTTTTTCCCTGTCCCCAAAAGGAACCTTGCGCAGACGCGAAATTGCGAGATCGTATAGAACCATTCTAGACGAGCTATATGAGCCCCAGAAACCGATGCCACAGCGCACTGGTCAATTCAATGAAGCACCAGGAACAACTTTTTCTGAAATTCAGGAGTGGATCCAGGAAATAGTAGCACATATTCTTGCTCTTAACACTGTTGGTCGCCAGAGTGACTTTGCCAGCCTGGGAATGGACTCACTTCAAGTCGTCCGGCTTTCTCAGGTCCTGCAAAATGCCGAGAAGAACATGCAATTGGTCGAAGGCCCGGTAACATGGACCAGCGAGATGATTTATGACCTAGCGAGTATCCCGAATATGGCTAACACTCTCTACCGGCGCATCCATGGCCGGTCCCCGGAGACAGATGCAACAGAAACTCGCACTTGGCCACGAGAAGATCTCTTAACCAAGTTGATTTGGGAACAAGCACAATTCCTTGGCTCCGGTGGATTGACTGTGGCTTTGACCGGATCAACTGGGGAGCTGGGAAGCTATCTCCTGAACACATTGGTCCAGGATCCTTCAATAAAACAGATCTATTGTTTGAATCGCTCAGGTGACGCTGCGGAACGGCAATTGGCAAGTTTTGAAAAGAAGCACTTGTCCAGCGTTTGGCTGGCAGAAACATCTCGCGTGAAGTTCTGGCTTAGTCATCTCGATGAAGAGTACCTAGGTCTGGCGCCAGAAAGGTACAACTTCCTTAAACAAAATGTTGATGTGATCATCCACAATGCCTGGCCTGTGGACTTTAACCAACCAATCGCTAATTTTCAACCTCAAATCACTGGGGTCCGGCGACTTCTGACACTCGTTGAAAATTCGGTTCACAACGCAGATTTTCATTTTGTCTCATCCGTCTCCGCTGTCTTGGGTCAGTCGTCGGTGCCAGGATCGACCATCATGGAAACCCTGCAGAGCATGAACAAACCACTTCGATTGGGATATGGTGAGTCGAAGTATGTGGGTGAAGCTCTCTGTAGTATTTCTTCTCAGCGCAGCGTATCTCGGATCACTATCCACCGAGTTGGACAACTCGGTGGTCCTTCCAACCTGGAAGCAGGCATGTGGAATCCACGTGATTGGTTACCATCTCTTGTACGGTCATCACACACTATGGGCACAATTCCTGATAGCTTGGGTCCGTTCCAGGTGGACTGGTTGCCGATTGTAAGTCGTCCCTAATCGCCACGCAGCCCCGTAGAAACTCACCAAAGATGGACAATTTTGACAGGATGCTGCCGCTCGTATAATGAATGAGATTGTCCAAACTCAGCGCAGCAAATTGCCTTCTGAAATGACGATTTATCACATATTAAATCCACATACGACAGATTGGAAGGAAGTGGTCGGTACAGTTGCTAAGGCATGCGAGGCCAACATAGTCTCACTCGCTGAATGGGTTCGAATGCTGGAGTTGCAGGCTGCTAATGGTGCCACTGATCTCCGCCGCCTTCCCGCCGCCGGCCTCTTAAGTTTCTTCCAAATGCTCGTCAGACAAGAGGATCTTCCAAGGCCTAGGCTAGATTTCAGCAATACCAAAAGGGACAGCACAACAATGTGTGCCCAAGGCCCTGTCGATCAGGAGTTGATGGAGGTGTGGCTAAGCCAGTGGAAGGAGTGGATCCCAGAACTGGCTATTTGAAATGTCAGGTTTTGAAACGTTTCAGCTTAGTGTCGAATGCGAAGTTGCATGGCAGAAATTATACCAGGGGGGCCCGACTGACCTCTCTCGCTTTAGCCCATTGGTCAATGCTCACGTAAGCATTCCCAGTTTTTTCATACAGGAAACGACTTCGTTTTGAAATATCTAGTACACTTGATTAGTAGTTCTCTACAACTTGATCGTTTTTTTTGAATTTTGGTAGAGTTGGTAAATTTAAACTTCCATCATTTGCTTCGCTTAGCTTAGCAAAATGATAAGATTTAGTCTTAAGCGTACAAAGGTAAAGTAGATTTGGTAGCTCTTTACATCAGCTAAGATTCAGTTGGTAAAGAAGTAGAATAGTAACTATGTAGAGGATACTAAGCTTAGCCTAATTGGTAGGCGTTTGCAGAGCCCGCAAAGCCTAAAGCCCAACCTAACCCAACCCACGGATAGGTTTGGCTTTGGGCTTTTTTTTAGGCCTACAACATACAGCCTATCTTAGGGCCTAATAGGGACCTTTAATGTCACAGATAAACTATGTGCGCTACTATTTATATTGGTCCTGGGCATGTCAGAGCGAGAGCTCTGATGTAATGGTCTTTTGGCCAAGCGGAAGGGAGTGCGCCCAGGCATATCCTTGACACCAACACTGCAAGGGCGCACTTGCACAAAGGATCATCATTTGCAGCAAACCCAATTAGCTTTATGTTGAGAGTAATTGTTAAAAAATATCACGCTTACTATACTAACAATATTCTTAAGCGGGTAAACTAGAATAGTTGGTCCAAAAAAAGTTGTTTATTTTGACAACTTAGTATAAAAACGAGTTTAAATCGGTTGTTCTTATGTTATCGGGTTTAACCTAGTAGGTTTTAGGTTAGGTTCGGTTTTGGGTTGGGTGCTCCGACCCAAAATGGGTTCTGCTGAAGTTTAGATCTGACCCACCAGTGTGCTGGAGAATCTATATTTCCCAACATAGCATAGTCTACGAAGTACACAAATTGTATGTTAGATGTATTTAGCTTTGTCTGTAGAGATCAGAAAGATTGGATCTTGTCATTTTAATTAGTTATAGAAATATCTTTATCTATTGATCGTCCATACCTTGTTGTACCACATATTGGTGTCACACAATTCCGGCTAGATTCGGCATTTTTGAAGTGTTGTGTGGTTCCTGTTCAAAGTTTGGCTCTCCACTGTGTAACCTCTTCATGTAAATTCTGAAATTTAGAAACAAAATTTTATCATCTCTCTCTCCAGAGCTTGCTCAATGGCGCGCAGCCCTCTTTTTAATATCTCTCGGTGTAGTTACACAAGATAGTCTCTGCCAATCACGGCGACCGGTACAACGATAAACATCTTGCCTACTCGCAATTACGACTTTTATTGTTTGCTGAAACTTATCTTGTGATAAGTGAGTGCGAACAGACATTAAATTGGTGTTTCGTGCGCACATCGTAGATAATCTCAGTCCCCTATATTTAAGTGTCTCAATATCACATGATCTAAATACGGTTTTATATTATGACAGAAATCTATGGTTTAACAGTGTATCGGACGACAAGTACATAGGAATTGAAATGCTCTGGATATTGTATTTTAAATGAAAGAGTCGCTCATTATCCAATCTATGCGGGCAAAGCCGACTTAACATGACATACAATTTGTGTGGACTGCACCATTATGGCGCGGACCGAGTACTTTTCTGGGCATTCCACCCTGTTTTCAACCATGTATTGTACCATGGGGTTGAGACAACCTTGCTCACACCCACCTAGTAAGTAAGGGTTAAGCCTAAGCTCAAAAGGGTTGAGGAAAACCAAGTAAACATAGTCTTAAAATGCCGTGGCGTTAATAGTTCTAATCGGCTTTATCTCTTCTGAATTCAGAATGTTGTGGGGTTGATTTTAACACAACCTGACACGAAAGTTGTTCGAAACTTTTCATTTATGTCAACGATGGCACCGTCTATCACTATGCTCTGGTAGGCAAGGGTGCAACTCCTAGCCACAAGATGAGAATAAGCAGTCTTCGACGTGGCTGGCCTATTAATAGCCAGGGTGGTTACAGAAAAGGCGGCAAGGCTTCATTTAAAGAGCTGTTCAACCAAACTGACTGGACATACTCTATGTTTGATAACTGACTAATTAAATAATGGAATCATAAATCTTGTCAGCGCATGAAAGAATCCACCTGAAACCTTTCCATTTAAGCCTTTATTATAGACACAGTGAAAGGCCGATCTAGCATCCAATGTCATAAATTGACACAACCGGATTATTACAAGGTATGACTACCTTTCGGGACCAGTTGATAGAACAAGTGGTTAATTGACTCCTGTCTTTTCTGGCGATTCGATTGATGTGTCGCATTACCATGTATTTATTCCATTTTTTGTGTTTAGAAACACTACTAATGATCCTTGAGGCTCTTTCACTGTATTTTCTAAATCAGTTGACCTGTGCTGGAACTATTTTCAAGGGTATGTGCAATTTTCTGTGCCATGATACTTGTGAAGATGGATCATTAATTCATTCCATCGGGCAAAGTCACCCAGAATCATCACCGGGCAGAAACCACAACAGGAAGTGGCAAGGAAAATGGATAAGATGAAGCTAAATCATCATACTTGGCTTGCAAGGATTCTGCTATGACTGCTATTCTCCATCATTTTCAATCTCCTAGTACTTGTGCTAGACTTGAAAAATGTCGATGTAATTGAGCTGGATGGACGGTCAAGACAAAGGCAACAGTGTCTTCAGCAGATTGATAGTTGACTCTGCCCTATCGCCCACTCCATGGCCAACAAGATCTGCCGCACCTCCGACCCCAAGCGTGGAATTTCATGCCCCGCTGTATGTTCAACCAATCGCTGTTTTGTCGGCTCAAAAAAGCCCTCGACCAAAGCGCCACACGACCGCACGGCGGATAGCTCATTTTTCCCCCTCACATGAACTGTAGGAATAGAAAGCCGGATTTTACATAGCTCAGGATGCAGAAGCGATGGGAGCTCTGACATTGGGCGGTCGAAATAGAAGTTTCTTGGCTTGCGAATGATTGATTGAACGGCATCAAGAACCCCAACCAAAGTGGTAGTAGCAGCACGTGCTTGTCCCGGTAGATGAGCGAATTCCTCTTCTTGGCAGGATCGGATGCGTGCTTCATCCTGGGGGCTGAGAGATCCGAATAAAAATTGGCAATAATCCGTATTCCTTGCCAGAGGAGGGGTAGGTGAACACAGAGTTACAAAACGAAATGGAGAAGGGTCATTTGGACAGGACATCTTGTGCTCGATCAGGTAGGCTACAAGGATAGCTGCGCCTTGACTAAATCCAAATGCTCCATCAAATGGCCCATGTTCAGCAATGGTATCATCAATCAAACTATGCGCTGCACTTTCACTGTCAGTGTTGAAAAGGCGAGAAAAGCAGAAGTATGGCCCAGGGAAGGTGTCACCGATTCCTTGGATAGAACAATCTGAAATTAGCTCATTTGTTTCCAGTCGACAAATGTCAAAGAATGGATTTTGACCCACCAGGAGCCGGCAAGCAGGTCTCCTCGCCACATACATAATAAAACTCCCAGATGGGATCAGCCTCTTTCACCAAACTCGACATCTGAAATCTCATCACGTCGGGACTAGTTCCGTAGCCATGGAGACAAAGAATTTTCATCTTGCTCCAAAGCTTGCCGTTATCTGATTAGAGGGAAACAGCAAGGATCGATCTTTTGAGAGAGAGGGAGAGAAAATTTTTGGGTTGGGGAGAAAGCCAAGGATTCTGAGCTAGGAGGGAGAAAATTATAATTGAGATCTAAACATTAAGGTTAAGAGGTTATATAGGTCCGAGCAAGATAAGCAGAAAGATGCTATGAACCCGAAAATTTAAATAATACACTAATGAGAGCAATTTTCCAGAGGTGGTGTGTACGTACTATGACTCGGCGTTGACCTGGCATTTTTGTGCAACCTTCTTTCAAAGCTACATAAATTTATGGGTGTAAGTGGTGACACACCCTGTCCTATAGCTAGACCTTGCCAACTCCTATAGGAAAAAAATTTTGCTGGTCATATCCTAGTCCTATCTCCTTCTACAGGACTAATTGGACTCCTACATAGTCCCACACTAATATGGTTTTGCCAAGGATTTCCTACTTTAGCTATACAAACTGACAAAAGATAAAACACTATAATTTGTTGAAAACACTAAGTTAATTCTCGATAATTGCCTTGCAAATGGGTCTCATTCAATGCTAAAACCCCTGTTGATTTCTTTTGTAGATATCGCCCTATAGATGCGCTAAATCCTAGACATAGAACTCCAATGGAATCGGGATTAGTGCCTTTGACGCGGTTTAACGCCTCTGTCATGTAATGTATTCTGCTATACAATGTCGAGCATCCTATGTCTACAAATCATGTATTATTTAAGGCTACATTAAGTTTATTAAATTTAGAGAAATCTAGTACTGGGTGCTAATGCCACTCTTTAAATTTCTTCTTCCTGATTCTATTGCCTAAATATGTTACGAATATCTAATTGTAAAGCTATACAATCTTCAGGTGTATGCCATATTAGCTGGGTAAGATACAATGGTGGGTAGAAGAATGAGAACTGATTGGAATTCTACTAACTCTTATCCTATTTTTCGGTCTAGGGAATCCTATTTCTTATGGAAAAAAAATGAGTCTGCTATAGAGTTCCAATCAAGCCTATGCCGAACTTATCCTGTGTCGCTCACGGGATTTGTAAAGGTGTACTGTTTGCAGGCGTAAGACCTGTCAACCAGGTAAGATACAATGGAGAGAAGGGGAACTGTATTGTCTCTAATGTGCCAAGACTAATTCTTGCCATAATTAACAGGAATCCCGGGGGATCCTAGACTAGTTATAGGGAAACCCGTCCTCGGGTGCTAACTAAACGAGTCTAACCCGAGCCACTCTTTGATCGGCAGTTGTTCGGTACCGATCCGGCACTGTCACATAATCCCTGTTCCTGGGTTGTAAGGATCTTTATCCGTTACAGGATTATATAGGTATAGTGTGGTATCCCGGTCCGGTTATAAGGATCATCATCCGTTACAATAATCAACTAGTAATGGGTAGATATATCTTTCAGAGTAGAGTTAAAGCCATAAATACGGCTTTATCCCTGGGCTTAAAGAGATCAGATCGGTCATTTTAATGTTACTTATAGAGATATAAGTATCCCTGCTTTAATACCAACTAACATCATAGTTAGTAATTAAGTATTTAAAATAATCAAATCTATACTTAGTTTCTTACTTTTAAAAAATTAAATTATAGACTACCATCGCCTATAGATACAAACGTCATGTAAACCTAGTGTTTCACAGAGGAAGTTAAGTGTAGATCAAATTGATATGAAGCCTTGGTCCGAATGAAAGGGCTTATCCCACGAAGAGAACAGAAAAGAAAGAAGAATAGGCCAACCTAGAGATGGCGCCGGAGAAATGAGCTCGATCTATTCTATCACCGGCCTACTCATCGCCAACCATCGTCAACTGTTTCCAAGCGACTATCGTTGACTGGTTCCAACCAAGAATCTACTTGCGGCTCCTCAGATTCGGCCGCTTGCTCAGGCTTGACTGGTTCCTGGCTTCGTGCTCTATCTGCCCAAGCCTCCAAGTCGAGAGGATTTCTGATGCAATGAATCAGCACCTGCCTAGTGGCCAAAGTGTCCTCCAGCGCACTGTGCCCACGGTTGCCAGCTTGGATCTTGTGACCAGTCAAGTCTATGGCCAGGGCTTTAAGGCTCCAGGTCCTCCGAAAGGGTCTTGCAAGTGGTCTGTACACCGCATCAGCGGTGAGGATTGCCGTATCAATGATCGTGGGGTGTATAACCCCCAAGACATTGAGATCATTTTGGAGAGCATGGCCAACAAGTATGGTGCTCCTGTCCATGAATTCGAAAAGCGTAGCGCGCGCCGCTCTCCACCCGGAAAGGACGACGTTGTTCTTCACCGCAGCCTTCATGCCGGCACAGGTTACGCCGCTCGATCTGGTGTACCAGTTCTGGACGATATTGGTCGGATTCACGAACTTGTTGATGAGAATGTCTCCGGTGAGTAGGTCTGCGACTGCTAGAAAGGCTAGCTCTTTGCGGCGTTCTGAAACGCCGACCATTTCGCAATCGAGGACGAGCGCCTCTCGTCTGGCTTTGTTTTCATTGTTTCTTGGACTCTGGATGAATTCATGATATTTGATCACTCCACCCGCAGGGCAATGAGTACCATAGAAACGAGTAGAGATGGTGACGAATTTTTGTTTTTGCAATTCCTCCTCTGTGTGAACTTTCTCCAGAAGATGACTGAAGAGCTGCTCCCGCTCGTCCGTTGGGGTGAGCTTTGGATCGTCCATCGTGGTTGCAGATTTACTCCCAGAGTTGATGGTAATGATCGCGATCGTCCGCGACAATGGGGATGATAAAGCGGACCGTACCGTAGTAGGTAATGATAATTGAATGTGAGTCTCGATTTCAATGACACAGAGAAAGATCTTCGAGGGAGGGAAGGAAAAAGTGAAATCAAAACCAAACGATGCGAGTCGAACGCTCAAATATCCCTTGGCTTGTGAACAGGCATCGCTGTTGTTCGGGAAAAAACGAAGTTATCAAACATCGTAGACAGCGAGCTCGCTTACATGATAATTCAGGTAAGCATACACGCATTTATAGATTCATAGAGGGGCATCATTGCACAATAACTCGACATATTCCATCGTGTTTAGCAAGACCAGTGAACTTTGAAACAGACACCAGTAGTATACCACATGGAAATGATAAATAAACGTAAGAAACTAGATGGCGAGATTGAGTATCTTAACAATCCAAAAGAGAGCATTGGAGGCAATGATATTGCGCCGAGAAACTTCTAGACTAAAGAGTGTGCAGTAAATGACGGCACCTTAACCAATCGCGACGATACCTAGGCAGTTGAATCCTGGAGGATAATTGCTCTCCATACTTCTTGCAGGCTATAGGGTGACGAGGGATATATGGTCTTGAACTAGCTTAGAACAAGGAGATCATTATTGATGCTTATTGATTGTGGAAATGGCCTCTGAAGATAGACAAACTCTCACTAGTGAAAATTCACACTCTTAGCCACTAGAAGATCAAGCACTTGTCGAGGCATGAAGGACGCACCACCCTGAGAGGTACATTTGGGCAGTGTCTTGTTCGTAGTCACACTCTCACGGACATCAACCACTTTCTGGTCCCCAATACTAGCCAAGAATCCTTGCCACGCATTAGTGCCTATCTCTCAAACTTCGACTGTGGCCATTTGATTGCTCTCGCTTTTCGAGGTCGTATTCAGGGGTTAGGTGGAGTGTTTCTCTCCAGGCAAGATATTCTGGTCTGATTCCAACGGACTAGGAGAGTATTTTGGCATTCTTGGTCACTGGTGTATTTGTAGTCTGTGTAGATGGTGGAGAGTTTGAGGCTGAAAATAGTGCAGGTCGCAATTATTCTAATGACTGTTGAGTAAGGCAATCCATTTCTTGACAGAACTTGACTGTGAGGGGAACCCCTCTCCGAATGGAAAGTCGGAAGATCGAATGTTTACTCCAAGCTTGACCCCTCATCTGGGCGCCCCGCTCCTTCCAGACTGGAGATAAGCTAGATAAGCGCTATGTATAAAGAATCACTCTCCCCTGATTCTGTGGGGTGTGTTAGGTACCTGAAGATATTCTATCCGCAAGATGGAATACCGCTTGTGGTTGGCCGGCAAAGAGCAAGATGGGAATGCAGACCTGTGGGCAACGGCTATCTTGAGACTCCAACCAACACTGACAACTCTACAGGATTCCCATTGAAGACCCCGCAACCGGAGACATCTTTGCGCAGTACGCTAATTCGTCGACATCGGAAAACCCATGACCCAAGCCTAACCTTTGGCAGATGTCACGCAGCCTCGCCAGGAGATGTCGAGACCGCCATCTCAGCCGCTCACGCAGCATACAAGTCCGGTGTATGGTCGTGTGCGAGTCGTCACCATCGTGCTGATGTGCTAGACAAGTGCGCAGTGCTTCTCTCCGATGCCCTCCCGCAACTCATTTCAACAGAATCCAAGCAGACAGGTCGTGTGATTCGGGAAATGAAGGCCCAGGTCCCGTCCTTGACAAGATGGTTCAAATACTATGCCTCCCTGCTAAGAGTCGAGGAACGTTCTGTTCTGCCGACGGTGGGTAAACTGCATAACTTTGTCGATCGAGTGCCTCTCGGAGTGGTCGTTCAGATCACCCCGTTTAATCACCCGTTGTTAATCGCCGTGAAGAAGCTTGCTCCGGCACTTGCCGCCGGAAATAGTGTCATAATTAAGCCTAGCGAGCTGACACCATTGACAACTCTTTTTTTGGGCAAACTTCTTCGCGAAGCTGGGATCCCAGATGGTGTGTTGAGTGTCTTACCTGGTTATGGAGCTATCACCGGCAAAGCATTGGTTGAGCATCCATTGGTGAAAAAGGTGGATGTGACTGGTGGCACCGAGGCAGGTAGGGCAATTGGGAAGATCATTGGTGGAAATCTGGCAACATACACTGCAGAGTTAGGTGGAAAGGCGCCCTTGATCGTATTTGAGAAGGCCAACGTCGATACAGCGGTTAACGGAATCGTCTTTGGAAGTTTTATCGCAAGCGGACAGACGTGTGTAGCCAGCACCCGGATCATCGCGCAAAACTCGATCATGGACGAGCTATTGACCAAGCTCAAGGACAAGATTAATAGCATTACGCGCCGAATTGGAGCTCCGAGCAACCCAGAGTCAACCATGGGGCCACTTATCTCCGAGAAGCAGTTGCGAAGGGTGGAACATTTAGTCAACAGCGCTCTAGATGGAGGAAATGCAGTCTCTCTCATCGGCGCAAAGCGAATGGTTTCCCCAAGCCCGCTCGATGGATTCAACTTCGAGAAGGGATACTTCTACGAACCAACGCTACTTGTATCCAGCAACGAAAACAACAGTATTGTGGAGACATCCATCTGGCGCGAGGAAGTGTTCGGTCCTGTCATTGTCGTTGCCGGTTTCGATAGCGAGAGAGAGGCAATTGGATTGGCAAATGATAGTGAGTTTGGATTGGGAGCTGGTATATGGACACTCGATCTTTCTCAGGCTTTCCGAGTGTCGGAGCAGATTGAGGCAGGAATTACTTGGGTGAATACCCATCATCGAAATGACCCTAGTAGTCCATGGGGAGGTGTAAAGTCTGCGAGTGGAGTCGGAAGCGAGAACGGGGTCGAGGCTTACAATGCCTATACAACATCGAAAAGCACAATCATAAATTATGCTTCTTCTGATGAGTCTTTGACTGAGGATGACTGGTTTGGAGATGGCTCCGGCAATGTTAGATATGGTTGAATGGAGTCATGTCGTTGATTTTCTCCTGGTTCTGTTGCTCAAGTCCTGGATTAGCATGAAAATTGGTGGGTGCCTGATATCTGCGAGAAACCAAACATCCACAGGCTGTCATGTGCCAGTTGTAGAAGAGTATGTCCATACCAACCTACTTCCAACAAAAATTATGCCACTTCAGTCTCTTTTCTAGTATCTAGTATATTTTGTTTGGTGAAACATTTGGATTTCATTTTCTTTTCACGAATAGGGAGATTTAAAAAAAAACAAAAATAAAAATAAATGACTGTGCTACTTGAAGATCCACGACATAGATCTGCGGTACCCGCCAACAACCTGTAAGGGAAGTGCATGATGTCATACCCATCAGCCTGGATACGACGAGGTTGGGCCTTGGTCCATTTCTTCAAACATACATCCATCTCTTAATTGATTAATACGATACTAACTCAATCAAAGATCGACGTAAATCATCACTATGTCCCTCTGGGGTCGCAAAAAAGACCAAAAGTCCACGGGGCCACCCCACACCCAAAATGGGGAAGAAGGTCGACATGTTCCAGAGCTAAGATTCGAAGAACCTAATGAGCGCTCAAGACTGCTCCCGGCAGATAGAAATGAGAGGTTTCTAAGCCCAGACGATCCTGCAGTAAGTCAAATAAACCAAGACCGCAATCGATAACACACTAGAGACACGTTACAGCTAATGCGAAAGCAAGGTCTCACCCTACAATCTATGGAGCGTGCGCGCAGTGCGCGGCGTGTCAATCATCGCATTGGCGCTTAGCTTCATATGGTGGACATTCCTGCTTGTCTCCATATTTGTCAGTCCACCGATGATCCACCCACGGGGGTCGGGTTTCTTTGCCTTTTCATATACTACCTTGGCGACAGGATACCTCGTCCTTGGGCTCTTATTCTTCGCAGTGCCCTCCAAGCCTATGACCATATTGGCCATTACGCTTGCCGCTCTGCTTTTGGTGGATATGACCATTATCCTCGCTGTGCCGCGAATCCGCCTTGAAGAGGGCTGGGTGGGGATTGCTTCTGTCGTCTGGGTAACTCTGACCTCCATCTACCAAGCAATTCAGAACCGAGCGGTGGCTTGGGGTAAGCGGGAGGAGGAAGAGCGTCTCACTGGCCGAGAAGAGACTCGGCGCTCCCTGCTGGAATGGATTGCGGTTCTCGCTGAAACGATTTTACTGGCTGTCATGACGATCGCGACTATTCTGTTCACCGCAACTCTGATCTTGCGTGCTTTTGACGCCGGGCTCGAAGTTCCAGGTAAGCGATACTTGGTGCATGGGGATACCTACCAAGTTCATCTCGCATGTGTCGGAAACAAAACTGCAGACGATGATGCACCAACCATTCTTCTAGAGGGTGGCAATGGACCAGTCGAACATACACTTCAACCCTTCATTGACGATGTATACAGCCGTGGCGGTATAAACCGATACTGTTACTGGGACCGACCAGGATTCGGATGGTCCGACAACGCACCCTCGCCCCATTCCGCGGGTATGTCAGCCGACGTGCTATCAGAGGCCTTGGCGCTTGCAGGCGAAACAGGTCCATGGATTGTCGTGTCCGCGGGAGTGGGCAGTCTTTCTTCGAGGCTTTTTGCCAGTCGCAATCTTCTCAAAGTGTGCGGCATCTTCATGATCGATCCCCTCCACGAGGCATACCTGGGAGACATTGGACGACCTGGTCGTGGATTTTTGCTCTGGCTTCGTGGTGTTATTTCTCCGCTGGGGTTGGATCGACTTGCAGGCGCCATTTTACGCGGCCGTTCTCGTCAGGATCGCGTTGTCGGACGTGCGGCTAACCAGTCTGGGAAATACATCAAAGCAAAGTTGCAGGAAAGCCTCGTGGCTGTCACCATGACTGCTGCTGAGATACAGTCTTCTCGTCATATCCAGATGGGTCATGCTCCTGTGGTCGTTGTGAGCTCTGGTCAAGAGGTTCGAAAGAAATCTCAGTGGGCAGCGCGACAGGAGGATCTGTCTCGCCTTACGAACAACCTTTTGTCGTGGGATGTTGTCGACGAAGCACCCCATGAAGTATGGACTACCGGACAGGGAAGGGAGGTTTTGGAAAGACGGTTGAAGGAGCTTGTCCAAACAAGTCAGGCGCATGCGCCATGAGGGCGATCATCGCCTGAAACTTGTATCAGTTGGAAGTTTGACATGTCTTTCGGGCGTTTATGGGGAGTGCAATAGTGGAAAGGACAGGGAATTTGTCATATTGTGCGCTATGAAATGCATCCCCGAGAAGTTGATGATGAGGGGATTTGAGGCTATGCTTCACGGTGCGTAGTAGACTCGGGCTACATGAGACTTCCTCGTCTGAGGTCATGCGCTACATCCCCATCTACATAGGTTTTTTACTTCTCAGCATTTACCTGTAGCAATCTGGACACAGTAGTACAATGAAAATTTTAACTCACATCTATGTTGTCCAAGAAGAAATTCAATAAAACAAGCCCCTGAGACGAGAAAATCAGTGAATTTTCTATTACAGCACATTCCACGTCGTAAGACACGTAACATGCAAGCTGGATTTCGAGTGGTATATTTGTCGAAAATGCAGTGATACCGGGCAGAGCCTTAGCCTGCTATAACTAGCCGAGGGGCCCAATCCAAGGGCCGTTCCATTCCCGCTCCATCGAATCTCCATCTCGGGTCCGGGAATCCACAATCTATCGGGGAAACGTGATGAACAGTGACTGGTGCCGTCCTCGTAACTTGAAGGGAAACACGGCGGGGAAAGCTGAGCCGAAGGGTCTAGGGGGAGTGCGATGAAAACCGAACGGTGAAACGACGAAACTCGTCACTCTAAACTAGCTCCCTTAAACCTCTTAGCAAGCTGGTCACTCTCGGGACTTGGAGATATGGACCGGGGTAGTGTGGAGGGTGGGGGGTTGCGACGTTTCCGGGTTTGGGAATCCGAGCGAGAAGGCTCGGCCGGTGTGGGCCAGGGGCGCTTAGGGGGGCGCTCACCACTCTCTTGAAGAATTGTCATCAACGTGGCCCATCCTGGGGTATTCAAAAGCTGCATGCCCTCGGCGGGGGACTTCGTTCTAGCGACGCGGCAGAGGAGAGACTCCTCATCCTGTTTGAGAATGCGAGTTAGCGTCACATGCACCGAGGTAAAGATGCGCAGTAGAACACCGACCTTGCTAAATGTGCCGACTCCGTGCAAGAAACACAGGATGTGGAAGTCGGAAACTCCTTGGATAGCTTTATCCGGATCACCGTGGGACATGAGTTTCTGGGCAACGTGTCGAAGCTCTTGGCTTTCGCCAATGACTTCACGGTTCTCGATAGGGAAGCGACTGTTGGTGAATAACGGGGATGACTCTGTTGGGAATCCGTGGGTCAGGGTAACTAGTAGGAAATCTACTGGGAAACTTGGTTCGGCGCTCTCCTGAACGCTCGCACCGTACTCATTGATTCGTCGGTAGAAGACTTCGGGGATGTATCGTGTCCTGCTTCCAAGATCTTCGTCATGCTCTGATTGCACCAGCATCACGGTCGGGTCCGCTGAGGGTTCGACGATATCTCCTCGAACCATCTCAACTGCAGACACGGATGCTTGGTACGAGCTGATAGCTATCGCACCTGTTTCATCTCCGCTGAGCACACAGGTTACGAAATCCGAGCCGAACTGTCCAGTTCGGCTCCATTTCGTGGATTTAGGATTTTGGGCCTGGAGTCGTGCAGCGAAGGCAATTTCGAGTGAAGACAAAAAGTATGAGTCAATGTGCCGCTTGCAAACCACTGAACCGTCCCCTCGGCCACCATCAATCAAGTCAGTAAAGATGACACCAACCTTCTGCAATCCGCACAGACGGGCTACGTCATCCACTTCCTTTTCATTCTGCCATTCATGGAGTGTCACACCGTCGACTTCACCCGTTTGCGGGGGCTCGTAGATTGCTTCCACGACAGCCTTGACACCTAGTGGTACTTCGGTGTACTCCTCATATGTTCCATACAAGAAGCCCAGTCGTTGAGCACCTGACTTTCGCCAGAAATCAAGGAGGGAGTTGATTAAATCCGGGGATGAGAACTCCACATGGTCAACCATGCGGAACTCCTGGGGTTGAAGACTGATTGCACTTGGTTGACATTTGGTGCAAATGCCCTCCGGCCAAGGGGAATGCCCCGATGGGCAATCGCTTCGCACTCGGTAATATGGTTCGTTGAGCGGAGGCATGAACGAGGTTCCCATTTCGGGCTTGTTAGTCGCGGCATTGATTTTTCTAAGGTATGAGTGAAAAGAAAGGTGCTTGATCTTCTTCTCTGTCATGTTGTTCGCATCGTAAGGCTCGAGTGGCATGCAGTAGTCACACATGCCTCGGGGACCGTGTCTGCACATCTTGTAGTCTATTCCACGCTTGATCTTTCCATCTTTCTTGTCTAGCAGGTTGTCTAGCGGTGACTGCTGCACTAGCTCCCACGGGTTCTTGATTGGAGCCAAAGAACTTGGCTGTGGTCGAATCGGGACTGTCCGTTGCTTGGGAATCGGTGCTCCATTGAGTCGGTGTTCTGTAGTGGTAGATGTTGTGCCATTCAAGGATCCATTTTGTTGTGTCTGTTCCTGGTACCCAATAAAGAGCTTATCCCCATGCCTTCAAGTCAGCGGCGCGTGAGTAATTCAATCTGTATAGGCCAACATGACATTCGAAACTTACTTTAGGCCAACCTGCTGAAGCGACACTCCTTGCAAGGCTTCCAGTAGTCTCTCCTCGCCACCCGTGCCGATCGGTTTATTTGAGAGGGCAATGGACGAAGATTCGACATTTGCCGGGAGGTGTTGTAGAATCTAATGCCGGTTGTTAGATTAGGTTTTTGATTTCATTTTGCTGTCACTCTCTTCTAACCAAGGGCGGAGAAATACCTTTTTTTGAAGTGATGGAAAGTGTTCCTCCGGGCTGACCGTGAGTCGAAACTGGCCGTTTCGACTCTCGAATCGCAGAAGAATGGAGACCATGTTGGCCCTGGCAAAACTAAAGCACTGTCAAAGATAAAGACTGAGAGGTAGTGCCTTCAATTTCCGAGGCACACAGTTGGAAGAAGAAGACAAAGAAGGTACATGCAACTGAGAAGAGAAGCTCGATTCGAAGCTTCCCTGGTAACGTCACAGCTGGCGGGCGGTATGGTACCTGGCTGACAAAACACCCCGCGGTCGGCTGTGTAGCTTTGGGGGAGGCCTCGGTAAGGTCGTTACCAAGGATACAGAGCCTGATGAATATAGCGAGACTGGGAGTAAATTTGCACAAGCCCGTAAATTGAATACTTATTGAAAGAAAATCATTGGCTGTTAGTCTTTGGGACTTTAAAATCAAGCACACAGTTAGTCATCGACCTTGAAAGTATCCAAGTACTGTTGAGAAATGTAGTGGAATATTGATCAGCGCATTATGGACACTACACAGCGGACGGTTTTTCATTTTTGGGGAGGTTTTTTTTGCCAGCACTTAGGTTCACTTTTTTGTCAACCGGTTGATATTAATCTGGTCAATTAGTAACTAGAACTAACTGGCCGCGGTAGATTGTTAACTAATCTTTGCTGATACTCGCCGGCCTTGCGCTTGCAGATATATATATGTCAACTGAAAGCGAGAAATTGCATCGCTCTCGCCCAGGGCTTTGGACAGAGCCACAAAAAGAAACTCAAATCGCTTGTCTGGCTGGAGCAAAACAAGGGAACAAAAGGTAGAAAACCACTATTGGTTGCTTTATGATCTTCGCAAGCGCAAGGGACAGGGTTGAAAGCCAGTAGACAGACTTGCGCTAATCCTATCAGCTGAATCATAACTGACTGAACCGCATTGGATTCCTGCTTCTGCGAGGGAACTCTGCCCTCATACCACGTGAAATATCGCAGTCTCTGTTTTGCTTGAAAATTTGTGTACAACCTTCAGTCTAACAAATATATTAGACTAAAAATCACGAGAAAAAAACAGTTTTGTTGCTAATACAAGAACTCCGATCGTCAGTATTAAATTCGCGTTGCGGCTCAGTGAGAGAAAGAAGCGCGCCAATGAGCGATCGTCTCACAGTTAAGAGTCGCGTTTGCAAATGTGCCGTACACCGGATAACAGCCAATTATGTGACTATATGGAAATGACTACAACATACATCACACCGGAATGAGGTTGTCAAGGCCTTGCTGGGCAACTTGGAGGGGGCATCCTTCGGGCATTCTTCCAAAACTCCGAGTGGGAGGCACTACACAGTATCGTATGTCTTGAGTGAAACTCCAAGTTTGAATTGGCTATGAAAACCCCGCAGAAAGCTTATGGTGGCTTCTTCCCGGGACCTATGGCGGCCTTGTTCATGTTGCTTGACGGTCTCGATGTTCGTTCTCTTCTGGACATGTGCCCAGATGACCCAACACAATGTGCCCAGAAACATAATCATGGAAGGGAACCACGGATGGGAACCATGGATGGATATAGAAAGTTAAACATCTACGAACTACTGGGTCTTTACAAAAGCAATTCGCAACTCTCCCAAAGACATCTTCCATTAGGCCAGTGATGATGTTCTGTTGGAAAATGAAAATAGTATGTCCGTATCGTCATTAGAATTAGAAACGCCGAAGGAACGCCCCAGGGAGAACGGCCACAAATCAGAGAACGCAAGAAGAGCCACGGCCGTAATTAAAGAATGGTACAATTCTTAGGCAGACCACATGGCCCCTCATTGCTCTTCTCCTTCTTGGCTGGCTCCTGAGTACCCCGTTGCTCCTTAGCAGGCTGCTCGGTATTTTGAGCGGCCTGCTGAGCAACAGGAGTCGAGCTTTCCGGCTTCGACTCGGTGCTACCATGCAGTCACTGCACCTTGGAAACAGTCTCATAGAAGGCCTTGCCCTGAGCGGTGGCAATCTCGATCTCAAGCGCAGAGGGCTTGCGGGAACCGTCGGCACCCTGTAGACGGGACGGTAAGCAAGAGCAAAATATCAGAGAGAGTCGTGTACACTTACAGCGAAGGTACCAGCACCCCAGGCGCTACCACCGTGAACCTCGTCCAAGTTGCTGAGCTGAGCAAAGACGGTCTTGTAACCCAGAGGAACGTAGATGAAGCCGTGGTGAGCAAGAGTACTCATCGAGGCAAGGGCAGTGGACTCCTGACCACCACCCTGGGTACCGGTCGAAATGAAGAGACCGGCATACTTGCCCCAGAAGCCACCAGTGCTCCAAATTCCACCGCTCTTATCCCAGAAGGTCTTCCACTGAGCAGGGAAGTTACCGTAACGGGTGGGGATACCAAACAGAACAGCGTCGAAGGCGAGAAGGTCGGCGGGCTCAACAACGGGGTAGCTGGCCTTGGCAGGAGCGTACATCTTGCCCAACACTTCCTCGCTGAGGGTCTCAGCGATCCTAAAGACGCAAAAATTAGTTGAATGACCTGAAGTATAAGAATGAAGGTATGACTGACTGGAATATCTCAGCTTGACCACCAGCGGATTCAATGCCCTTCTTCTCGGCCTCGGCCAAGGCCTGAATGTGGCCGTACATAGAGTACTGTTTGGGCCATTAGTGACATGGGAGAGGAATGTATTGCTACTGGAAAACGTACGTAGACAATTGCAACTTTGGGAGCCATGATGACGATTTGAAGATTATAGAATGAACGTTGTAGAGGAAAAAGTAGAGAGAGTGAGAGCGGGGAGGGGAGCTAATTATAAAGGTTGAACCCCCCACGGGGGGGGGGATATCCAAGGTACCTACCTCATCCTAGTGATATGTAGGTGGCTCAAGTACCTCCAACTATCAGCAGCACGACAAACCTTCCAAGCATCAGTCACCGATGACAGAGCATCTGAATATGAAATTTGATTGGCCGAGCAGGTTCCACTCGGATAAAGCTCTGGCTTTGGTGATTCTTACAGAGAACTGACAAATGAAAATTTACGCGCTAAGAGTGGGCCTCCTACTATGTGAGAGAGTTACGAAACCATTATTAAAAAAAAGGGCACTTTTTCAGATTCTATTCCATGTTCCATCCCGTATGGTTATTTTAATCGGAGTTGAGACAATAACTAGGTCTCTCGTGTTGGAAAGTACCGATGATGTCATCGAGTCGCCTAAGATGTCTAAACATCTCTCTTCCCTACAACATATAGATTCTTTGCGACATAGGCCTCCCAATTTTTTCGTATGAGTTAGATTGGAATATGCCGACTCCGGCGTACTTAAATCCGGTGGCTGAATGTTGAAACGAGAAGGGAATTTGTCTCACAACACTACAGGTCTAATTTTACCAGGCCAAGCCAGTGTAGCAAACGGCAGACATGATACAGCAAGGGTGGAATAGAGATGCCTTTCTAGTAACACCAATTCTGCCACGTCGAGTGCAATGAGAAATTTTCTTGTGAATGTTTCTGCGTCAAACAAATTGGGGTATCGCGGGACTAGCGCAAGAACCATAAATGAAAAGAAACCGAGAAGCCCGTGAACCCCTTACCGAAGCCACACCTCACTCCATGCCATGCAATATCGCCAAAAAAGACCCTTGCGATAAGAATCCACCTAACCCCTTCCACGCCCGCGGAAGCGACCACGCCCAAAGCCACCACCCCGACCACGTTCGTTTCGCCATTCTCGTTCCCGTTCCTTTTCCCGTTCTTGTTCTTCGCGGATGAGGACTCTTTCACGCTCAAGCTCTTCTTCCGTCTTTTCAGTGCGCATTGTAGGACGTGGTAGGTTTTCTGGCCAGCGAGGGTGAGCATCGGCACACGCTTTTCCATCAGGGCAGAATCCGGCCAGATAGAAGGTACATAGACGTCGGCGGACGTGTCGCTTTGCACATAGTGGTCCCAATTCGCAATATCCGCGGTCGTAGTGCTCGCAAGGCGGTAGGCGTGCCTCTTCGCGAACATGCTGGTAAAGGCAATCGTCACCATTGGTGCAGTATCCGGATCGCGAAAATGACTGGCACTCTGGCATTCGCCGAAGGTTGTATTCGTGGAGGTATTCACATTTCAGCCCTTTCTTGCATAGTCCCTTGAGAAAATGTTTGCAAACCAGCGATCCGTGGGTTGTGGATGGTGCCATCCCGGAGGCTGTGGTAGTCGAAGTTGTCACACGGGACGGAGTGGGATGACGATCTGGACAAGCAGGTCCTAAAGGGCAGTGTCCTTCACTGTAAGCTTTGCAGACAGGTACATCGCTGGCAAGTCCGAAGCCGAAGCTCTTGCGCAGGAAGGGTGTGAAAGAAAAGTCATTGTAGCTGGGATCGCGCGTCGGTTCGGCGGAAATGATGTATGCAGTTGCACTTTCAGTGTCAGCAGCCATGGCTAAATAAAGCGCGGGCGAAGCGTGGAGGGTAAAAAGATGATCGGTGGTCGTCGCAAGTCAGGTGCTGTATTCGACTGACTATACCCACCTCTTTGCAAATCAAATTGCAAAGTTTGAAGAGACAGGATAAATCACAGTTTCTCGGTATCTCTTAGTTCAAATTGACATGGAGAACGAGATTTGAGGGAAAAGTCCTAGTTGTTAAAAGGTTGCGGAGCTGTCTGGGTTGTTCTCCAGTCGTTGCCTTAGAAATCGGGTGGCAGTACGGTGTTTGTCTCGTTTGCATTCTGACAGCCCATGGGCGAGTCACTCTAGATCTTTACAGAATAACATGAGAAAAAAAATTCTGGCTAACAAAAATATTATTTGAGTCTCATCCTGTCTCCTGGAAAACATACGAACATTCGTTAAAAGGGAGACCAAGGAGCTAGAATCCGAGTACAGATGGAAACGAAGCAGCAACTAGGACCATTAAGAACTAAGCCCCAATATCCAATCCAATTGTTTATCTATTGGACATCGAGGCTACCACTAACATCTCAATCCATTCTTATTGACCTGTTAGCACGTGCTCTGACAGGCATCCATCTTGTTATTCGAACCCGAGCTGCTGGTCCATCAGATCCCGAATCATCTCCTCAAATGACCAACATTGAATCCCTAGCTCGGTCTCCGCCTTAGTCACATCAACTGGGAACGAGACACCCTGGAAATCCTCGGAAATCAATGCTCCAGAGTCCGGATAGAGTCTGTGCACAATGCGTGCAATCTCAAGGCCCGTTGGCTTCGGTCCGGCCAGTAGATACTTCGAGCCATCCACGATCTTAGAATCAAGTGCATTGATGTGCGCTTCAGCCATATCTTGAACATGCACTCCTACAATGTTTCTGCTAGGATCGCCCTTCCTGACCATGACCCACAGACCAGTGTTAGACCCCGCGTTGATCTCGTTTGCAGAATTCTGAACAAGATTGCGCCCTCTATACAAACGCGGGATGCAATAATTGCATATTGTGGCTTGGCTGTTGCACGGAACTCCTAAGTCGCGTTATCTGCACGAAGTTTGGAGGCATGCATTGGTGTTGCAGACGGGGTTTAAGTGTCCTCAAAATCTCCATTTTCATCAACCGAAAAGACCCAAATGTTGTCCTCTAGGGTACATTGTCAATACAGTTCTTTCTCGAGGATCACAAAGTGGGTTATAAGATACCTCTCACAATACCACCAGTAGGAATGCCAGACATTGGAATCAAGGCCGCAATGGACGAGGCAACGACGACTTTCTTGATGGTTGGTACCTTCGCTGCTGCTTTCAGCAAGGCAGTGGCTCCTTTCACAGCCGGGGGAAAGTAAGTTTGTTTATCTTTTCCATGTGGAAGAGGGGATGCGAGATGAAGAACAAAGTCCACATCGTTCAATTTGCAGTCGAAGGCCACTTCGTCCATGAGGTCTGGAATAGCGACAATTCAATTTGGTCATTATAATTTGACAGCAGAATTTGCCACTCAGATTGCATGCGAAGACAAAAATAACAATCAATACCCCCCATCTAGACAGCAGCCAGTGCAGTGGCACTTCCAACGATTCGACTAGCATACGACCCGAGCAATTGTTAGTGTTACTCTTGTGAAGTTCGGAAAGCCGTATGATGGAGTAGTTATGGTGATCAATGAAATCAGAGGCCGAGCCTGATGGAATAATCAAAAAACTAAGTGTCACAAGCGGACCCATTGTTCTATTCGAGACTTTTCTATTACACTATCTCTCCGACACACTAATACTGTGAGACCGAGAAAAAAAGCCGATCATGCATATAGATGATGATATGACAGTATTTGATATCAGTAATCTGCGAGGTTTATTTCGTGCTTAGTGATCTTCGGCGCGGTATAAGAATGAAAAGGATCCCAACAAATGTGTAATAGAACAAACCACATCTTCAATCAGAATTCATCCTGAACACATCTTACCAAAAACGACTTCCTTCAAAATGCCTTCCTGGTACATCAAACACAGTCCAAACACCCTCGCGGCTCCTGAAAAAGAACAGCTCGCGAAGTCAATCACCAGGTTGTAGGTCTCCTATGGTCTACCTGCATTCTACGTTCCAAGTCCATTCCATCGAGGACATTCCCGGCACTGCATTTGTTGGCGGCGAACCTCACCCTAACTTTGTGAGCTTGAAAATTTATCACATAGCTCGAGCATTCAAGATCGATGAAGCCAAGCGTAACTTCATGGCTGCTGTTGACGAGATTTTCAATCCAATATTTGAGTTGAAGGAAATGGAATGGGAGTATTTCATTGCGGAATCGTCGAGAGATTTGTGGAAAAATAAATGGTCTGGTACCACCACAGCCTGAATCCGAGGGAGAGAAGAAATGGGCTGAACCGAACAAGGCTGTTAAGCTCTAATGTCGCATGGAGGTACCGAAAGCACGAATTGAGAATAGAGATTCTGCAGTGTCTAGATACCTCAAGATTATCTGACATGCTATGCATATTTCGGAGATCTATTAGTTTATTGACTGTCATTTTTCAACAATTCCGATGGCTGTAACTCTACTGACTCTTGCTTGCCACTGCATGCGATGCTTTCACCACGGCACAACCCTGATCTTACCGACAAAACCAGGGCTAACAGGAGCACACGGCTGACACTATAAAGTCCTGCGCCCACTAATTTTTCGATTCGCGATATGATCCGCAAAGACATCCCTTTTGTCGCGAAAGGAGCCGAAGTAAGGCTAACCTGCCGTACAGCCGAAATAGTACCCAAGAACATCAAGGGGCTTCATGTGGTTTCCTCAAAGGTTGTAGCCTTTTTAAACTTGGTTGTTTAGGACTGTCCACCGCAACGAGAGCATTTGGCCGCTGGAAATCCCACTCTTTGTTTCTTCCTCTTCATTTCTCAAGGTAATTCGGGGAGGCCTTTCTCGTGCGATGTAGGTATTCAAAGGGTATCCCTGTAGAATGCAGCGAGTTTTCTGGACTCTCAAAACCGGGGCAAAATGCATCGATACCTATAATGACCCAGCGTCATCCCATTAACACCCTCTCTCGGCGAATCAAACTGAAAAAGCATACAACAGCACAATGACAAGCCTGCATCGCCACTCTCCCTGACAGGTCTTTAGCTTTGAACTAAGAACAAATTTCTCATCAGGGCATCCAAAACGAACTTGACGCTGAATTCGAATTGTCACGAGTCATGATTCGACAATTTGGCACCGCATTGACAACAATCTGTTCCAACACGGGGTGCATTGGTCATGCATGATGATCCACATTCGTGCCTTAGTTGGAAGCTTCCCTGTTGGGATTACCTTACTACATCCACTGGTTAGATCGGATCGTAGGTCATACGGAAATCTGGTGTGTCTTGGGGCTAGAATTGTTAACCGAACTCCGAGACAGTGTAGGCCGGTCAGCAAGCTTGACCCCGCATCTAGCTATGCAGACATCAGCCATTGTCTACAACGTACAACATACTTTGGTTGAAAAAAAAAAAAGCTGTACATATGCTTAGCCTGCATTCCCCGCATCTCTCTGTATCCAATTGTTGATTTGATCATCTACGCCAAGAAGCCTAGTGAACTTACCTCATATTTGTGTCTGCAAACTGCCTGATCATGCAACTCCCATTCCACCCAATTAGTACAAGTGCAAAGAGGAGATTCAAAGGAACGAGACGAAGTTCCACGTGACGTATGCCAAAAAAGGAAACACACAGCCTTGATCTGGTACTTTCCAACTTTCATTTCATCTCTTTCTCTTCTTTTTTTTTCACTAAATCGCTTTTGTTGGATTTCCGTTCAGTTTCAGTCCTTTCCGCAACTCCCTTGAATGCAGGAGCTTTCACATACCTGACCTTGACAACTTGACCATGTTCTCAGCTTCCAGGCTCTTCCGCCGACGGGGCGCGGATCGTGACCCCGCCAAGTCCCACGTCTCATACGAAGTGCCACTGTATACAAATGCGGCCTACTATCCGAATTGGAGAATCTATCGAAAGGAGCCTCCTTCATCTTTGCGCTTGGGATTTATCTCTCACGTGTTCTACGCATTTGCCTGGTAAACACAACCAATCATGGCCATTGAAAGGCCCAAGTTCGAGTAGATGGCTGACGCGCTAACTCAATTTGGTTTCACGCAGGGTGAAAGATGATGGCACCGTTTATGTAAGTTTGTGTTTAAGTATGAATGTTCTCCAAAGTAGAAAGATTTACTGACGCTGTGTCATAGCTAAGTGATGAGTGGGCTGACACCCAGATGCCCGTTGACGGCGCAGAAGGTTGCTTGAAAGCTTTCGTTCAATTAAAGCAACAGTACTCTAAGATGAGGGTCCTTCTCTCTGTTGGCGGTGGTGGAAAAGGCAGTGAGAACTTTGCCGCTGTAGCCAACAGCCGCTCTGGAGTGGAAACTTTCGTTCACACCGCGCGAGAACTGGTGGATCAATTTGGAATTGATGGAATTGACAGTAAGACCGCTTTATCTTTCTGATCCCGACGCAATTTGGATGCACATGACTTACTATATATGTAGTCGATTGGGAACATCCCTCTAATTACGAACAAGGAAGGGATTATGTTCGTCTCCTCGAACGTCTGCGGGAAGTGCTACCCGCTCCACGATACGTCGTTACAACCGCGCTTCCTGCTGGTGAGTGGGCATTACGGAACATTGACCTTGCTGCGGCACACAATTATCTTGATATGATCAACCTCATGACCTATGATTTTGCTGGACCATGGAAATCCGAGACTGGCCATCAGGCGCAGCTCTATGGTGCAGGTGTATCTGGTGATTCGGCAGTTTCCTACGTCGTAGCGCAAGGAGTGCCTCCTAGAAAGATCATTCTGGGCGTCCCAGTTTACGGACGATCCTTCTTGGGTAGCAACGGCACCGGTCAGCAGTATACTGGAAACGGTGGTGAGGATGGCGTTTTTGACTATCGCGATCTGCCCCGACCAGGGACACAGGAGTACTATGACAAGAATATCGGTGCGTCATTCTGTGTCGGAGCCGATGGTGGATTTGTCACATACGATACTCCAGAAACAGTTAAACAGAAGGCGGAATATGTGACCACGTCGAAACTAGGTGGGCTGTTCTACTGGCATGTCTGCTCTGATGCCCGAGGACCTCGCAGCTTAGTCGAGACAGGATACAACACGTTGCACGAGATGTGATGGTTGTCAGCTGTTTACAAAAGCAAGACGAGAAAAAAAATTAAAACCAGATCTTTCCCCCCGTCGATATCTTCGGAAAGGATTGTTGTAGCTTGACTAGTCCCATCATGATGTTTGGTCAATTATTTCTCTGGTATTAGCTCGCCACCACTAGGCTATGGCTATAGAGACTATCTAGCACAGCATAGAAGCCGTAAATATCGATGATGTTATGCTACAGAGTCAATAAAATGGCGGCAGTAGGCGCTGTTATGGGCTGATGTGAGACTGGATGTTCACATACTCCATACCGACAGCCGAGGTCCATTTCCCTTGCATCTTCAACCGCTTTGCCCCCCCCCATATCATTCTGTGCCTCCCTTTGTGACATTCCAATTTTAATCGCTTCGAAAGATCACACCAAGTTTACACAACAGCCCGCTACTGCAGATAGCGGCTACATTATAGACCCCGGCCCGTTGGAGAATACCAACACGTCGGATCCTAGTCTTCAGCGGACACTAGCATGTGAGTTTCCCATTCATGTATAGGCATAATAAATTATCCCTAAATCTTTGTTAGGGTACCTACCATCCGCTACATTATAATCCGTACAATCGCATCTCACCCAGCTCGGTGCCGAGGCTATTTCCGAGCAGGTCCGTGAATGGAGTGCCGATGCTGAGCGCAATATGCCATACGTAAAGAGCCCATAACGTTTGGGGTAAGCGATATGATTATGATCGATTGGTTACTACGGAATGCTGGAAGCAGTTGGGCAAATGGGGTGCTCGGAATAGGTACCTATTAAGATCGCTTTTGAGAGTGCATGATCTAACTTGATCCGATTAGGATCATCTCAGCAGGCTATGACCAGCGTCTGGGAGTTGATCGAAGAACAGTTCAGTATGCGCTGTAGGTAATCAGATTGTTGATTTTTCTGCGCTATCACTCAGGCATTGATTCCAGGACCTATTTGTACTCTCCTTCTTCGGGGCTCTACTCCTGTCCGATTAGCATGACCGATGGTGCTGCTTTTATTCTCTCATCGAGAATAAACAAACTGCCATTTACGCCACCTTTTCATGTTGCGTTCCAGAGACTAATCTCCGAAAAAGATGATCACTGGACCTCGAGCCAGTGGATGACTGAGAGAGCCGGTGGCAGCGATGTCCAAAACTCCAAACATGGGCTGCATACTCGCCTCTAGCTACCTCCAGCTTTGTTTCCCTGGGCGATGGCGACTACCTCGTTGGCGGATTCAAGTTCTTCTCATCGGCAACGGATGCAAACCTTGCTCTCTTGCTAGCGAAAACGCCATCTGGAAAGCTAAGCACATTTCTCGCGCCACTGCGACGAACCGTAGTAGGAGCTGACGGCGTCTCCAAAATTGTCTCTAATGGTGTCAGGATCCACCGGCTAAAGAATAAACTCGGCACCAAAGAATTGCCAACGGCTGAATTGGAACTGAAGGACATGCGTGCGCATCTCCTCGGAGAACTTGACCAAGTTATCGCCACTATCGCACCTCTCCTCAATGTCACCTGAATTCATACCTTGATTGGCTCGCTGGCTGGTTGGCTTCGAGCTATCAGCATCACTAAAGGCTCTGCAAAGGCGAGGACCACCGTTGGCGAACCGCTCTGGTTGATCCCAATGCATTTGCGACTCCTCGCAGACTTGAAAGTAAAGCACCGGGGTGCAATGAACCTCGCATGGTTTACGGTTGCTTTGTTCGGGGTAGTTGAGAATCAAACACCGTCTAATACGCTCGGGCATCTACCTTAACCTGGCAACGAAGCCAAGGTGGTTTTCCGTACCTTGACTGCCACTGCCAAGGCTGTTATCAGTAAAATGGCTACTATAGGAATTCAAGAATGTCAGGAATCTATGGGTGGAGTCGGTTATATGGACTAGGCTGACGAGCCCGAGTTCAACACTTCTCGGATTATGCGCAATAACACAGTCAATTCTATCTGGGAGGGCACCATCAACGTGCTCGCTAGCGAATTCGTCCGCTTCCTTATCAAGAAGGATAACCTGAAGATATTTGGAACATGGCTTGACCGTACCTTGATGCTGATTCGGAGCGCAGGTCTGCGGAATGCCCTGGCAGCTGCGTGGTCAACTTTGCGTGCTTGTTTCACAACTCAGGATCCCGCTTCTATTGTCGCTGATGGTCGGCGCTTTATGTTTACGCTGGCTTGGGTTATATCCGGTACACTTCTGGCGCTTGATTCTGAACGTGATGACGATCCTGTGACTACGGAGATCGCTCGTCGCTGGATCTTGAGTGATGAGGGTGGCGTGGGCGAGTATGTGTTCCATGATATTGTTACAGTCAGTGACACTGCGAGTACTTCCTCTAGAGGCGAAGAACATCTGCAATGGGACTGCCGAATTGCCTGGGGAGTCGACTTGCCGCCGAACCGGGCATCTGGTCATCGATCCTTGCAAAAGGCGAGCTCAAAGCTTTGAGCAAGTCACTCAACACTGTTGCTGCTCTATTTGAAATGCAGCCCTAGCTAATCTTTTTGTAGTTTGTGTGTTTACTGAGCGATTCTCGGATCATTGTGCATGTGAACACCCTATCAGCACTTTGCATTCCAACAAGATCCTGTGCAAGAGCCTCTAGCGATTGTGGAATTTGTGACCTGTCGAATATGAATTCATATCAGAACATTCTTTGAAATCTTTCATCAGAGGTCACTGGATTCTCCGATTCTAGGTAAGAAAGATAAATCTTTCGTCTGCAGTCAAGTGTTTTAAAGGTAGACGCCTCTTTTGACAGCAACAAAACAGCATTTGTTTATGAAAACAAGATGCTAAATACAATTACTTGCTCCACAAAATGAAGCTTTTACTTACTCTTGTAATCCTTCAGGCACTCAAAAGGAAAAAAACGAGAAAGGAACTTTTGTACGTTAAAAGGAAAACGAGACGTCATCCAAGACCACTTTTGGTAAAAATGGCAATTCTCACGCTTTCTTAAGTTCATGCATTTAGTGGCGAGGAGCCACTCCAGTCAAATCCAGCACCTTCCCAGTTATTGCTGAATGGGTCTAAACTAATGTCAAGAGAGGCAAGGTCGTAAGTGTCCTCTGGTTGTCCCGACGGAGTGTCCTGAGACCGCATAGCATCATTAGAGTCTTGAAGGTCCGCCATAGTGCAAGTAGACGCAAGACCCGTATTTCCATTTGTGGGCTCGGGGGAGTGTCCAATGATTTGCCATTGTTTGCAAAGTTTTGAGTCGAACCCTTGAAAGAAAGATGTTGCGTCCGCATCGAGAGTAGGCGATGAACCCCCGAAGTGACCCAGCTCCCGGACTTTCTCGGTCAAGTTGTTCAGCGCACGCAATGGCCCGACCGCTGAAAGCCACCGTTCGGATAGCTTTTGAAGGGAGAGCTTCATGACTGTTAACTCATGCTCGGCAATACTCTGCAGGTTGGCATAACGACAGCTGGAAAGGAGCGACAGTCCAGCGCATAGTGGATAGAATGCAAAGACAGGACCCAGATATCGAAGCTCATCCCGAAGCAAGAATTCCTCGTAAATCCCAGCAATGAACGAAGATGCAACCAGCGATGCTGCGGGTGGTACGCTACCTGGCGTAGGCGAGCGATGAAGAATAGTGAGCACCACGAAATACATTACCAGCAACTGTTGCACTTCGTGGTTACAGACAATTGCATCGTCTTGAGCCGCGACCGATGATCGTAATCTTGGAACGACTTGTTTTGCCCACCGGTAGACGGCGTTCTCAAGATCAACTCGCCGTTGCCGAGATATTTCTTTTCGTAGATGGGACTCAACCGTGTCTCCTAGAAGCCGGGATATCGCGCAGTAGGCTAGGAATAATTGAGATTTGAAGTTGTTCACGGGAAAATCATAAAGTGATGGTGGAAGTACATCACTGTCGCGTAGATTGATGGTTCGTGGTCGGCCGACACCAACAGAAATGATGTTGTCTCGCACCTAAGACTGTCAGTGCATAGTGCTTTGTGTGTTCCGCATGATATACATACCACAAGAGACCACCACAGCCTTCTCCGGAACCCCCGATCTCGAGAACTCGGCGAGGGTTCCTTGTGTAGCCCAATCTGAAAGGCCATGGCTCCAGCTGTCCGAATCCAAAAACCACTAGTATCGGTAGAGACATCTTCGGGACCAACCGGATTATACCAATGCAGGAGACACGCGGCCACAATAGAAACCAAAGGATTGTCACAACCACCGAAAAAGAAAAGTAGTTTTGCTCGTCGATAGAACACCTCGCTAGACCCATAGTATAGATGAGCTTTGGAAACTCTGCTTCCAGCGAGAAAGATAGCCTGGAGGAGCAGCATTGATCGCGGCGCACTCTCATCCAGCCATTTTGGGTCCACGATGGGTGTCCAGGGTGCACAGTGCATGTTGAAACTGGCCATTAGCTCTTTCTGAACTGACAATGGCGGTAGCTCATAGGCTCCTTGGTCACGGAGCATTTGCATGTCAGTTTCTGATGCTTTGGGGTTGGTGTATGTAGTTTCGCGACCGGGTTTGACCATATTTTCATCAAACGGCACGCTGCCACCCAGATATTCACTACGGCCGCGATAGCTCTCTTCTTTAATGAAAGGGTCACCATGATTGGCAATCACGACTGCGTTGGTTTCAATTGGAATCGCCCTATGAGACTCGCTTAAAGAATTCCGCTGTGAAGCCACTTGCGCCTCTGGTGATTCGGGAGGCACCTGTGAGCTCCGCGGCGTCGGACCCAAGGGAGCAGAGACTGGCGCATTCCGATCTGGCGATAGGCTGTTGGTGAACCTCTTGCGCTTCCTTGAATATGGTCTGAAGGGTGTCAATTTTCAACTACTCGAAATTCTCTCGGGTCCACTTACCTGCACTCCACATCTGACTTTTTGCAGTTGGTGCAAGGGTCTTGCGTCGCAAAATCGCACCTCACCTATATCCATTAGCGATTACCCGAGAACATGCCAAAGGATTGTTAATGCGATACCTTTCTTTTATGACATATTATACATGCAGAAGACATGGCGTTATGCCCAGCAGTGGATATCCGACTGACGGGGATGGTTGGATGAGGTCGAAAGTGGGGTTTAGCCGACGTATGCGAAGTCCACAAAACTGCTCAACCAGCAACTCTCCACCTTCTTCGATTGTAGCTTCGTTGTTTTCGGATTAGACGGAACGTGCCAGAGTGACCACAAATTTTTCTCGTATTCTGGTATCTTGAAGGATGATGTGGATCCCTTGACTGCGAAGGCGCTCTGCAAAGCTATTCTTGTCTTCAAGGATGGCCCGAAATCAAAAGTGTGTGTCCTGGCAGGTGTCGGTAGTAGCTATTGCGTAGGATCCGCTCTCTGTAGCTTTGTACAGTCAAACAATGGCAACAATGACAACAATGGCACACACCTTCAACCTATCAACTGCCGCAGCTTTGGGCAAACGAGTCCCTCCAGACTCGGTATAGGAAAATCCAGTCCTTTGTGAGATATCCGGATAAGCCTTGCAGAAGGCCGAGAGCTGAGCCTACTTGCAGATATACGCGTGGTTGAAGAGGAGGAAGTCTTCGTGGTCTTTTGTCGACGCTGGGGTGCCTTTGGTTGATGTAGGGATTGTCCGGCTGCAAGCCATTGTCAGGCTTGGTCATGCCTTGGATATGATATTGTCCGGTCAGCCTGTGGGCGCCCAGGAAGCGCTGACTATGGGACTGGCCATCCGGGTGGTTCCTGAAGGAGAATCCTCAGATGAAGCTATTGGGATAGCAAAACAGCTAATCACGTTCCCCGAGCTTGTCTTAACACAGATCAACGATGATGCTACTACAGTGCATAGGAGGCATCCATCCTCCTTCCAGAATGCAATATTCCAAGAGTCCAATGCTGGGAGCAAGGTGATTTCGCAGGACACCATCGCAGTTGCAACGAAGTTTAGCAATGGCTCAGGACGGCACGGCAGTTTCAAGGGCCACAGCAACCTGTAACTAGAAAGAGGCTCCCATTAAAGGAGTTTGCATTATCGAATTAATTCTTTGGATATCTAAACCCAATTATAAATGATGGTGGTAGTCATGCAAGAGCGTTTTATGCTAGTATAAGCCAGATATGTATCTTCAGGGAAATGCTGCATTGCGCGAATATAAAAGGACTCCACGAAGAAGTCCCTAGTTGGTCTTCTTCTCGGTCTCGCTCACCTCAGAGGTGAATTTGACGCTCTTGCCGTAAACCAGTGGAGTACGAGCAAGCAAGGAACCAACGGCATACCCGATGTAGGCTCCAACGAGAATCGTGATCGGGAATGCTTGCCAAGGTCGGTCCCTTCATGTACCGAGTTTGTCAGCTATCTGGCATTTGAAAACAGCTTGAACGTACAACGTACCAGTCAAGAGGAATAGGAATAGCGCCAAACCACGCCCCCAAGGCTGTGCCAAGCGCACCACCCCAGACCGCATCGACGGGACGGGCAATTCCCCAAACCTCATTCCAGACGGCGCGGTCCGCCCCATGAGCATAGATCAGGGCCGTTGCGGATAGAACAGCCATGTGGGCCGCACACAGAACGGTCTCGAGATTATGCGTTGTGAGCGGAGCGCCGAACAGAACCAGAATAACTGCAAGAACCGGAGTGGCCAGTGCGAATGTCAGAGAGAGCGAGAGGAGAGCCGGCTAGAAAATCGTGTCAGCATTAATGACTACCATTTTCCACTCAATTTGCAAGAAACATCGCGCACCAGTAACCGGGACCAAATTCTCGCCCAGCTGTTGGCGTTCTGCTTCCGCTTTCCATATTTTACATGACGTGCGGCACCGCCAGACCCAGATGGCCGAGGACTTGATTTGCCATCAGCCGGAGCGGACGCGCTCGTCTCTGTTGACGGTGTCGACCCGGCGGGCGAAAGACAAACAATCACGTAGAAAATTTGTACAATGGTGAGCCATGGTAAGGTTGAAAGCAGCTCTTTTGTGGGGTCCGCCACTAATGCTTCGAAACGAGTAGCGCCCAATGCCAAAAGGAGAGCTGGGTGCGCAATTGAGTAGATCCGGGCTATCAGCGAGGGGAGGACATTGACGGGAGGGGCGGATGGTTTCTCGTCAGAGGCCTGGGATGTCAATGATGAAGCTCCTGGTGCAGAAGAGGTCTCTGGGGCCATTGCGTAGTTCAAATGGCAGCTTTAAGTGGAAAACAAACCTTGAACAGCTCCCGGCTGATTCGGGGTCGAAATGGGGGGGATGGCAGCTCGACGGTGATTGGTTGTAGCGTTGTTGCCGTGTCCCCCGATATCTCAGGCAAAATATGACTGCCTTATCGTTCAGGCAAAACGATCATTTTGTTCATGAATGGATTTGTATGTTGTACTGGTCAACTACCCACATTGTCAATAGCTATGGACATAAAAACAGAATTCAAATTCCTCAAAACTGACCGCTATTGCTCAAAGCGGGTCTTGATTTCGGAGGCTTTCTGTCTTGATTGGTTTTTGGCTTCTAGTTACCTATTTTAACATCGTCGTGGCATGTTTTTCCCCAGCATTATGTCGTTGTAAAAATAGAGATTCTAGCTCTCTCGCTGATAGTCCGGATGAATGTTAAAATCGTCTTGTATCTAGCTGCCTATTTAGGTTAGTCTATCGCAGACGGGGTAGATACAGCGTTCTCCCCTTTGACCTCCCCGCCAGCTATCATTTCCCATCTTGTTGATGCCACCACATCGAAGAACCCGGGCATCTATTGCTTGTGAGCGATGCAAGCGCCGTAAGACAAAAGCAAGAAGATGATGATGCCTTGAAAAAGCGACAATTACTGACAGCGAGATAGTGTAATGGCGAGCTCCCCGTGTGTTCGGCCTGCGAGCGGTCAGGATCCAGTATGTTTTGAAAATCTTTGCTTCCCAAGATGTGGAAATCTATTTGGAGATTCTAAGACGCGCAGATTGTACGTGGCCAAAATTGCCTGGGCTGGATGCCTTCCACACTACAGAGCACTCGCAACTGGCACAATATGCTAGTAGACTAGAAAGACAAGTTGCCGAGCTACAAAATCGCCTGCAGTCCCAGAATGAAAGCTGCACTCAGGAAGTGGCCCCACAATCTATCTCACCAGTTAATAATCATGGCGAGCTATCGACGGATGTTGTGCTTTTGAGTATGAACGCCGCTGCAGAGCCGTCATTTATCGGTGCAACGTCAGGCTTCTCGCTTTCTAGGCTCGTGGAAGGAATCTTGTCCGAGTCTATCTTGACGAGAAGGGTTCGAGATAATGAGACCACTGTGTCTGGTCAAATACCAATGCGAGAGCAGTCGTCTGTGGCTACAGACCAAGAAGATGTGTTAGTTGATACCTTTTTTCAACGAGTACATCCTCGATATCCACTTCTTGACGAGGCTTCCCTTCAGAATGTATTCCGTCAGTCAACCCGGGACGACAATCATAATACCCCCGACCTCTTCATACTGTATATGGTTTACGCTATTGCTGCGAGGACCATTCAGCTACACCCTGAGATGCGTCAATGTACAAGTCCAGAGGTATGTTACGCCACAGGATCTCCAGAAAAAATCTTCAATTCTAAAACGCGTCTAGACATACTTTACACGTGCCCTGCGCCATATCGATTCGGCTTTAGCGAGCCAGAGCCTGGAACGGATCCAAGCCCTCCTTTTAATTGCCCTCTATCTTCTCCGAACTCCCAGTAATGTGTCAAACCTTGGAAGTTGGCACATTATCGGGCTCGCCATCAGACATGCGGTTGAGATGGGTCTTCACCGCAACCTTCGTGATTCTCGGGCGAGACGATTGAATACGAACGATCTGAACTTGCGTAATCGTGTCTTCTGGAGTGCATACATTTTGGATAGAGCGGTCTCATTGACCCTTGGCAGACCATTTGCTCTAGCAGAACATGAGATTGACGTTCCGGTAATTTCCATTTGATTTTTAATGGCTACCATGCTGCTGAATACTTACAAACGAGCAGGTACATGACTCGACAAAATACCAATCATTCATCCATATGTGCCATTTGCGACGGCTTGAAAGCCGTATACATCGTGAAATATTTGGTGCCGACGTGCATGAAGCTTCTGATGAAAAGATTGACTGTTTCCGGTATGAGCTCGATGCCTGGAGACTCGCTGTCCCGGTCTCGATAGATGCCTCCTTTGTTCTCCCTGGTTACTCGCTGTATGACACAAAGGAATTCTTCGATATACAATACAGCAAGGCACTACGTATGCTCCTCCAGCGACGTATCACTGCTGCAAAGAAAGAAGTAGAAGGAGATGTTTCGAAGACATCAGAGTATCTCACACTGAGTGCTCGCGCAGCCGGAGACATCTGCCAACATTACAAGGTGCTCCATCAGCGAAGGCCGTTGGGTTGGAATCTCCTGGCCCTACACTCTATTTTTACGGCTGGACTCACACTCCTATATTCTACCTGGATTAGGAAGGACAGGCCCGACCTCGTCGCATTGGAAGACATTCGAGCCTGTTCGTGTGTTTTGTTTGCCATTTCAGAGCAATGGCCGTCGACAAAACGATTCAGGGATATTTTTGAAGCCATGGCGCGCGAAATGATGGAAATTTTGAAACTCAGCCAAGCTCAGAACTGGACTGGATCGTTTCCAGTGGATGCGAATGCGTTTGGGGGGGAGGGATTTTGGTCGATTTTTGACGATTTGGTGGAAGACGATTACATTCGCGATCAGTTTAGGCTTGAGGGAACGATGAGTTAAATTGTTACACTTCAGACACATTTTTTATCGCAACTCGAAATCTTGAAACGTTCCCTCGCACGGGCAACCTTTACAGACTCGCACCGTGCGTTTAGACAGATTATAAACGACGCAGCAGACGGTCGACGTGGGCCCAGAATACGGCCCAGGACTCCTCTCCTTGGAACTTTCCGCCTCAACAGCGTGCTCACATAGACTATGCGGATAACCTGCATGGTCTTGAAATGCTGCTACAATATCTTGTGTACCCAAATTTTCATTTTGTGCTTTTCCACGTAGGCCTGCTTCGAGGCGATGACCGCGATACCATGAGCTCCCTCCGATGTATGCGTCAGTAGTTTGTGTCTGTGACAGGAAAGGCCCAGTCTGGAAGTGGTTACTGTGCACCAGGTACGGCTTTTTTGAACCCGATGAAATGACGGACCTGAAGATCGTCCTCGGTGTCACTTCCAGACAAATGCCAATGTCGTCAGCAGATGAGGCCATGATGTTAAATGCGACGTGGCGTGGGGTCCGGGCGATGTACTTAAGTCCCATTGAGTAATTAGATTGCTCAAGAAATAGCCGTCTCAACGCCACAGATGGGGGGATAGGGATTGAGCAGTCGGGCGCTAGGTCCATGTTGCTCTGCAGGGAGTTTGCTGTGAGTCCTAGCCCGGCGCTGTTGCACCCTGAGCGGCCCAGCTGACCTGCCTCAGTGACAAGGAACATTGACGGGATGTTTTCGGAGGAATCTGGATGAATCTCGAGGTAGATAATGGCGTCTTCGGTGAAAAGTCGGTGGGACATATCCCAGTTCTGCGCAGTGAAGACCTCCCGGTCCCTTGTGGCAGGGGCTAGAATGATTACGGATGTACATTCTTCTGCGACTTCAACCTGCTGGTCTTTGCAGATGGTCTTTTCCTCAGCGGGAGGCTTCTCGGTAGGTTCGGAAACCTCGGCTGCCTTAAATTCCTCCACAGCTACTTCGACGGCAGGCGCCTCCTGAAGAATTTCAGGAATAGCCTCGAACCTTACATGCGAGAGATCATATCGCGCATTCAACATGACAATTTCTTCGACGGTAACACCAGCGCCAGCGGCAACACCACGCATCTCTTCCCATCCCGATGGCCAGTAACGCTGCAGCCCGGGAATGTAGCAGTTTTTAATGACACTCGAAACCGAAAACCTGGAAATTCAGCACCCTTCAACACATGTTTGAGACCCGATTGACATACCAGGGTCCTAGCTTTCCCGGCTGCTTATAGTACGCGACGTTGAGCCGGATCTTCTCCTTGGTTTGCTCACCATAGGAGAATCCGCGGTCATAGGGTAACCCCGTGACCACCACATGTTGATAAAACGGATGCACGGACATCTCACCACAGCTATTGGATCTTTTTGCCAGTCTACCAGAGAGTCAATTTGCTACTGAGGAGACTTGTCCCAATGATTGGCGTTCCTTATGAACTGTTTACTTCGGCAGTCTCCCGGTGTTGCAAATGGTTAGGGTAAGATTATCTCCGAGATTTCGGTTATTACCGAGATGTCGGCATGAGCCGAAATGTCGGCATGCCGACGCTCAACTCTCGGTCATGAACCCCTATCACATCTTTAGTATCACGACTATCATTATCCCAGGCCAAGTGAAACAGCAGGATTGATAAAGATTAAACGATGAATTCTGCTGCCCCCAAATTGCTGTAATGGGAACCCGCGAAGTGCTTGTTCACCGTCGGCCGCCAGTATCACAGGGCTTCTTGCTAAACAGTAAGACTCTCCGAAGTGCCCTCAAAGCCACAAACAGCTTGCAAATATAGGAGAACGCGAGATACAGGCGACCGCTGTTCCCCAAGGAGAGAAGACTATGCATGACAACGGATGTGACGATGTCGCAAAGATGTTCAACGGCGACTTGGTGCTGGAGTACAGCGAAAGAGAAGAGAGTATCGTTCGCTGGAAGCTTGATCTGTCGCTCGCCCCCATGGTAAGAATGAAACTCCGAAGCCCCGTAGGGAATTCACATACTAAATTTGTGTAGATGCTCATAAGTTATATGCTCTCTTTTGTCGACAAAGGAATCTTATCGACGGCCGCAGTGTATGGGCTCCAAACTGATCTGGTAAGCACATGCCCATGCAGAGATTCAAGGTTTTCCACCAATTAACGTTTCTAGCGCCTTAAAGGTCAACAGTACAGCTGGTCCAACTCCATATTCTACTTCGGGTATATGGCTCAATCTTATTCTCATCCACCCCCAGGTCTAACGTAACACAGATTCTTGATCTGGCAGTACCCTAACTCAATCTTCATGCAGCGCCTACACATCGGGCGCTGGATAGGAGGCATGGTATTCTTCTGGGGTGTTTGCGTCGCGGCTACAGCAGGAGTCACCAATTTTGCTACGCTGGCCGTCGCCCGATTTTTCCTGGGCGTCTTCGAGGCATCGAATAACCCTGTCTTTACCCTCCTAGTCAGCCAGTACTATACCCGACAGGAACATCCTTTGCGGGCATGCTTATGGTGGGCTGGTGGTCCTATCGCAGCATTTATCGGTGACGGCGTGTCTAATGGAATCGGCCATTTCCATGGCGCATTGAGCAGATGGCGATATCTGTACTTGATCTTCGGTCCCATTACAATGGCCTGGGGAATATTCCTCTTTTTCGCCATGCCATCCTCGCCCATGACTGCCTGGTTTTTAACTCCCCGGGAAAGGCACATCGCGGTTGTCAGGGTGAGTTTCCTTTTCACACAAGACAAGATCGTGGCTGATAAATCTCTCAGGTCTTGCAAAACCATACTGGAATGCAGAACCGGCAATACAAGAGATACCAGGTCATAGAATGCTTCCGCGACCCCCAGGTCCTGATGCTATTTGCCATTGTGTTCCTTCAGTGTATTCCCGGTGGAGGATTGACTGCTGCAAGTGAACAATACAACACTGATGCCTGATCTTGATAGCTAACTTTTTCCAAGTTCAACAAAATCATTCTTACGGGCCTTGGCTACTCTAGTGTCGAATCTACAGTGGTTGCGATGCCCGAGCATGTGATTCAGCTCGTCTCAGTACTGCTCGCGTATGTTGCTTTCACCTTTTACTTCACATGGTTCTATTTCTAACAAACCAGGGGTGGGATCTGTTCCTACATTGGCAAAGGAAGATGTATCGCGATGATTTTGAGCAACATTTGCGTGCTGGTTGGGAGTGTCCTACTTTACAGTGAGTGGCCGCAATCATCATTTTCCCATTAGACTATACTAATCTTTGCAGCTCTTCCCGCCGAAAAAAAGATGTCACGTCTGGGCGCCGTTTACTCGCTCCTCACATGTACTGTCTCATACATCATGTGCATATCAATAATCTCGTCTAACATAGCTGGATTCACCAAGAAGATGACAGCAAGCGTAAGTGCACGCACATCTATATACGCTACGAGAATCGATATTTATTGATAGTGATCTTAAGGTCATGGTTTTTGTTGGTTATTGTGTTGGCCAAATTATTACACCGCAGTTCTTCATCTCCTCCGAGGCACCGACATATCCCACAGGATTCCGGGCATATTTCGTTACCGCGTCGATGATGATTGTCCTTCAAGCCGCTTTGATGTAAGTGTTCACTCAATTTCTAGAGGCTATCAGGTTCTAATTTCTGCAGGATTTATTATCTAAACGAGAATCGATGCCGTGATAAACGCAGCAAAGGAATGGTTATCGCAGACAAAGCTAACCAACATCATATCTTGGAGACTGATTTGATGGATTTGACAGATCGGGAGCAGCCGAACTTCCGATACACTTGGTGACGATGTTCATGAAGTGACATTATCAATTTCCTGAGCGCAAGTAGAGGAGTAGAATTTGTCGGGACAGATGCACAGTCCTCACATGATGGGGGAAAGAGAAATCACAGATTTCAATTTATAGTTCATATTCGTGAAATTGCACACTACCTATCGCAGATTTTTCCAAAGCTGAAATGGATGAGAGGTGCCTAATAATCAGAATAAACATCCCTAGCAAGAGGTGGTCAAACGTGTGTGTGTAGGTACGAAACCACATGTTTCCTTCTTGTCATTCATCAGAAGAGAGCGATTCGAGACTGCAATGGAATGATGATCCCCAAAGCGCCTTCAAATCTTATCTCTTTGTTTACCTGGATGCATTATGCATGTATAGGCAGGTGACCAGAGTGCCCTAAATGGACTCGATTATCTTCTCAAAGCATCACAGCAAGCAGTTATACCTGTATGATGGGCTTCAGTATCATATAGACAAGGGATCATTACCACAATCATTGCAAGGGAATACCACTGGCCATTCCAAGGGTGTGAGATTTCTGCTTAGTCGTGAACCTACCCCATATGGGGCTTTGCTGACCTGTCGGTGAGTTCGGAACTTCACATCCCCGGGTCTGTCAGGCGAAAACGTCGCCATCATCAACAAAGACGCACAATAAAAGCGATTGCGTCGTTGTCGGCGACTTTTGATCTGATAAACACCATTGGCACGACGTGAACTGACATTTCCCCTGGATTTCCCCGGCGCAAAACCACCGCCGTGAACACACCCTACACCTATGCGGAAGAAGAAGTGCGAAAGGATTCTTGAACAACATCCCTATTCTTGTCACCAGGTTTATAACAATAACATCAGACCGATATCACAAGCTGAGCCTAAGGATGGGACGAGATCGGTAAAAAAAACGAAAAATGACCAAGACAGACCAGACGGGCTGCAATCGCAGAGGCAGACGTACATTCATTCCACATGGCAACGTGATCAACTGAAATCCGGAAACCGGCTAATAATTTGAAGAGAGCTTCGGACCATTGGGAGGAGACGGGGGAGGGCGAGAGCAACGGAATAAAGAATACACAAGGGGTCATTGAAATGGCACGACGCCATCCAATGGGCAGCAAAGGGAGGACAGAGCAAGAGAGGCACGAACATGAGGGCAATGCCCATTCATCATGAACGAAAATTAGGATGAGAAAACAACGTCATCAAACGCCTGAGGCGACGCCAATGCTCCGTGAATAAGCCATACCCTCTCAGATAGCCAAACAAATCTTGCACAACTGGATAGAAGATAAAAGGTGCAATCGAAGGAAGAGCACTCGTGAAGATAATTAATAGGGGCGGGAAAATGGAAGAACTTTGTTAGAACACGCTGAAGGAGATCATGCAGCGGAGGTGGGCAGCACTGCGCTCTCTTTCGCGAGATCATGGGACACTGTTGGTTCTGGTGCCAACACCGACTCAGTAGCAGGTGGCTGAGCTGACTCCTTCCGTTCAACGACAGGCACAGCCGTAGACATCTCGGGACTGTGCGGCTCTTCGGGGATTGATGGAGGAAAGCCAGCACCAGGCAAGGGAGATACAGGCGAACGCAGATGCTCTTCTTGGGGCTGCTCATTTGGATGTTCAACTGAAGCAGGGTTGCCATTTATTGACTCCGTGGCAATGGGAGGAAGAGGCTGGTTGGCGAGGGAAGGGTCGGTCTCCGATCGTGTAGGGCTCAGTGTGTGCTCACGGTCATCCCTAACACCGTCCCGAACCTGAGCTACCTTAGCCTTGAACTTTCCAAACAAACTCTTCTTCTCGGGATCTGATCCTATAGAGGAAGAGCCTTGAACACCAGCATCCAAGCTCAGTGGGTGGCTGGAGAGATCCGTGTTTTGATAGTGACCACTGCCGAATGAACTGGTGCTTTGACCGGCTCGGGGATTCGTCGCAACTAGGGGCGGAGACGCGAAACCTAGGCCAAGTTGCTCACTGGTACGCTTGGACGATAGATGAAACAGCCAACTACGGCGATTTTCATGGCGAGAGACGTCTTCAGGCTGATCCATATCAGACTGATCAGTGAACGATGAACGCGAGTTTATGGAGGGCGTGCGTGACTTGTGAGGTCGGAGAGAGTGGTCAGTGTGAGGTTGCCAAGTACCCTCTACAAGAGCTGGGTTGGAATCAAAAGGGCTCTCTTGGCTGCCTAGTGTGGCAGCAGTTGGCGGTCTCGGAGTGGTGTCACCAACAGCAGCTTCCATAGACCGGTTTTCATATTTAGGTTCAAGATCCACACTGGGATCTACGCTCGGAGCATGGAGTGAGTTAGCCGAGCTTTGCGCGCTCAAGCTTGCACTCCCGGGAATGCGCTTCTTCTTCAAGCGATTCGGCTGCCGGGGTTCTCTCAATTCACCATCGGGTGGCGGTGACTTTGTGAAGAAATTTGAAAGTTTGCGCTCACGGCTCGGGGTCACGACCTGTGGAGGTGAAGCGGCCGGGGTGGAGGGGACCGCCGTGTTGGAGCTCTCATGCGGCCTGGTAGTTTCGCTATTGCTCAGACGTCCAGCAGTTGCGGGAGGCAATGGGCCATGGGTTGAGGTGTGCACATAAACGTTGCCTGGAGTCAATGAGGCAGTTGATCGACTAGGGGTCCGCTGCTCAGGAGTTTGCTCAGGAATTTGCTCAGGAAGTTGCTCAGGACGCTGTTCGGAAGTCTGTTTAGAGACTGGCTGAGGAACTGGATGAGAGATCGACTCAGGGATCGGCTGAGGCTGCTCGGGCTCTTCTCGCACCGAGGGTGTCCGACTAGTCGACCGAGAACCGTGATTGGAAACAGAGAGGCCGGGGGTATTGTTCGAGCCAGTGTCATTGGCTCTTGTGTAACGGGCAGAGGTCAATATGGGGCCCATCTTTGAGGGCAGAGTGTTGCTTCGATGGACACCGACACCGCCACCGCTACTACCACCTCCAGTGATTGAGGTGGGAGTTGCGGGACTTTGAGCGTTGCTAGAATGACGTGAGTTGCGGGATGAAACGGAGACATTTCGTCGGATCCCGTCCAACTTGCGATGGCTTTCCGTGTTCGCACTAGCGTTGGATACCGATCTTCGAACGGTCGGGTGAGTTGCGGGTCGTGGAATCCCTGCCTCCACTTCCTTCATTGTCTGCTCATCGGCAGCCGTGCCACTCATTCCGAACAGGAAGTGATCCTGATTCTCGATCAAGAAAATCAACACATCCTGACTCAATTTGTATTCCTCGGGCGACATATCGTGCTGGGGATGGGACAGCATGCCTGGTTGGAAAATCGCGGACAGGTTAGCCGACGGCATGCGATTCTGATCGGACTTTGAGGCGAAAACCGCGAGAAGATCGAGGATGTAGAGGAGCAGTTGCTTGTTCAATGGGGGCAGCTCGATGATAAGGTTCTGGTATGTCTCGACAGCCTTTGCATGGTCGAACTTGTCGGCATCAGATGTGTCCTTGCCTTCTAGAACCTGTCGCTGGTAGATACGCAGGGGTTCACGGAAGCGCTCGTAAAACTCTAGTGGCACAATGGGTTCGGGAAGCTGGTTCAGGTATCGGCGAAGCACGTTTGCTGCATCATGGACGGTGTATCCTGACCAGTCGAGTCCTTTGCCATATCGCTCGGGAGAATCGAAGACCTCCTGAAGGTCCTTAATACGCTTAGCTGATCCGTTAAGACGAAAAATGCCCTCCACATCCGTTGCTTTGGGGAAAAAAAAGTCAGTGATACCTCATCGAGTATAGCAACGTAAATGCTAACCTTTTTCCTTCAGGAACACTCCACACTTTGCCACGACAATTGGCACGTAACCATAAATGAAGCTCTCGCCGTGGTCGTTGGTCAAGGAGATTGCCACATTAGCATACTTGATACTAACATTGAGCGCAATCCCGAAGATGCCGCGGGGGGCCTCTTCTGCAATAAACGGGTCAGCATACCAGTTTGAGAAATAATCAAACTCCCAAAACAAATTCAATCGAGGACCGAGCAAAATCCCCAGCTCCGACAGAGTAAATAGCAACTTTCTCCTGTGCGACGAGGGGAGTATATCCGAAGTCTTCGGGGGGGTGTTGCGAACCGCCGTGAGCTGGAGCGCCTCGGGGAATGTTTACAGGGTCGCATCTTCTAATACCGGATTCACCAAAAACAGCGTACCTTTCAATTCTTCTTTTCTGGTGCTTCGTTTGAACTGCTTCCACCATGAGGCTAAATCTCGCTTCGAAGGCGGGGAATTGGCGCCGACCGGATCGGGTGAGGTGGGGAGAGGGTGGACGGGGTCAGCACCCGGGTGCGACTTGCCGACCGTCACCATGGCGAGTCCGGAGGGCGACTCGAGATGGAATCGAAGCTGCTGGAAATCGAAGAAGCGCAAGAAAGTGGGTGTGTCGATCGAGGGATTCGGGAAAGTTGAAGGGGCCCTGCGTCACCGCCCTCGTGTGTGAAATCCTGGGGCTGGGCCTAAACTAGCACAGGCACGTTTCCGAGGCGAAGAAGAGCAAAGAAGAGATTCGAGAACAAGAGAGGGTGAACAAAATGGTTGAGAAGAAAAGGGGAGGGCTTGCGTAAGACTGATGGATAAAGGGATGCGAAAGGGCTAAGAGGTCAGGGTTTCGAAAGGGTCAATGAGCCGGGGGCACGAGCCAAGAGCGGAACGCATATGTCGGAGATTATTGCCTGTGTCTTTTGATCACCTGGGTATGATTTAGGGGAAGTCTCTTTCTTTTTTGAGAACGGGCGACTATGAATAGCACAATTTTAAGACCCAAGGTTCCCGGGACCAGTAAAAGATGGGTCAGGGTCGGCCTGTCATGTAGATTAAATTGGATCAATGTACGGAGTACGGAGTACGGAGTACAGGTACACCATGCTAGGGGGGTTTGGATTTGGATATCTCATTTGCTACATAGAACGACCCATGTATGGATTACAACATCGCAGTCAAACTAAAAGATATTGGGAGTTTCCTTAAAATTAAGCAAAACCCGAAGAAGAGCCCCCGCTTGGGAGTACGTAGTCTGGAACCAACGGGTCCTGGATTATCTGGAAGGTGTCTGGACCCTTTTAGAGGCCTTTGTTTTTTTTGGATATCAATGTCTTGTTTCTGGTTGACTATCTTCCGGACCAGGTACCGATTTTCTTCTTTTTTCTGGTTCCTCAACTCGCTTGGCTTCGGGGTTAACATGTTGACCAATGAGATTGGCGAAGTAAACCCATTCCGAGGTTATCTGCTTTGGAGCATGTCCACTACCACTCGGTGCATTGCGGGAATAAATGTCATCGGCATAGGTTCTATCGTCTTCCGAAAGGCCAAAAGCATCACATTTACCTTTGAATCTTTGGCGATTTTTCCATACTCTTGAGAGATCATGCTAGTGTGCATATACTGCATGCAGCTTTCGACATCTTTTGCGTCATCTAGATCGCCGAAAAGTGTAAATAACACTAGTAAGCCAAAAGTTCCTCACGTATGGAATGTAACTTTCTATCCACGGGTACAAAGGCCGTTTGACTACATGTAGAAAAAGTCACTGAGGTGGGATCGGCTGTTCATAGCGTCATGAAGTGAGGTTGAAGAAATATTGGTGACGTTGTGATATCACGTGCATCGGATTTTTCGGCTTTGGTGGGTTTCTCCGATCGGATAAACCTCCTACGGAACAGTCCCAGAGTGCTTCGTAGGTAACTAACTAGTTAACTAGAGCTGATAGTTAAAGCATCATTATGATACTCCTATCTATCGGAAGCTGTTCAGATGATTTACCTATCGAAATCGATTTATCTCTGCTCTATTGTTTATGTGAACTGAAAATTTTGAACTGAAGATCCTACTAGCTATACAACTAACAGAAGATGAGATGGTGATTAAGTTGTGGCCTGTTAGTTAAGGCATGATGTTTGAGTCGTGTGGGCTAATATTTCTCCGGTACCCGAGAAGCTCAGAACCATCGGAGCTGGCAGCTGGGAGAACACTTGTGGAAAGCATCTTACCATCGAAACATCTTGATTTTATTCATCTATCCCAATGGAAGGGTTAGTAACTTATTTACCCTCTCCTTGCTTTCCTGCTCTTTTTCCTATCCCAATGTTCCTCATGAACATTCTCCGAGCAAACCGCTAATACCCAAGTCACAGACTTAACGCATCGGAACAGCGCGAGTTCGCCTCCCGCATGGAGCGCAAGCAGATGAAGGAGTTCATGACCGTATGTACCTCTTGTTTTCTCCATTGAAGATTCGACGTAGCGCTTATCGCCCTCCCCATGATCCCGTGTCCTTGACCGTCAACAATCTTTCTTCTTCCATGCTCAAGATCTAACATTGTCTCTTTCAGATGTACTCCAAGATGGTCCAGCGCTGCTTCGATGACTGTGTCAACGACTTCACCACCAAGTCTCTCATCAACCGCGAAGAGACTTGCATCATGCGCTGTGTTGACAAGAACCTCAAGAGCTCCGCCCGGTTGAACGAGCGCTTCCAGGAGCAGAATGCCGCCATGATGCAGAGTGGCTCTATGGGAGGCAACTAAAAATCTATTTTGATACGAAGAACCCCATTGTCGACGACCATTTTCGGTTTTGGCAACATGCATTCGATGAATTGGGTGATTGGCGAGGCGGTTCCATCGACCCCTTTGTCCCCGACCCGACAGTGGCTTCACATCGAGATTTAGAGGGATGACAGCGTGGTCGATGACCAATTGGCGAGGAAGCAGACAGGGTCGGCTCCTTTCCGTGTACCATAGTGACTAGCACGGGAGATATCTACCTCTCCTCTCCCGGGGCTCAAAATACAAAAGATGTGACCGAATCAAGGAAATGAGATGTGACGATGTATTTTGAACGGGTTCACAGACAATAGCCTAACTTGGCTTATCTTTCTCATCTCAAACTCGATGTTCATCTCTTGCTGTGATCAAGCAACTTCGAGGTCGGGAACCCCGAGGGCGGATTCACTTTCCTTTTTGGGAAGGGGAGGCTTTGGGCGTACAAGCTCGGAATTAAAGTCTGACGGAAATTTGCTGCCGTTGTTGTTCTAGTCAATTTGCTTCCGATTCCACACTATACCTCCCAATGGTCAGTGCGGCGAGTTACCGGATGGTGGATGTGATGACAATGCAAAATTTTCAGCCGCCCGAGGGCATTCTTATCTTTTTAGGATGTCGTACGGAGTACTTCAACATGAATCAATGAATCAATACAAAAGCAAAACATAAAAGCAAAGTGGGAACAACCCCTAGATGACTAGATGACTAGCAGTTAATAGTCACCCAACCCAAGTCCCCAGAGTGTAATACCGCCTAAATGACGAGAATAACAGGCCGGGTCAAACATAGGGTTTTACAGAAAATCCAAGATCAACCCAACGATAGTTGAGATAATGAAGCATCCTAAATAAATAAAATAGAAAGAAAAAAAAGGATAGACCGTATCCTCGCCACGCTCTACCTAATCCGCGGCCTCGGACCCGGTTCGGGTGCCCTACCTGATCTGGTGCCCTATGCTCCCCGTAGCTGAGATGGAGATATACGGCAGGCAGAACTACCCGTAGACGGTGAGGCACAAACAACCAATGAAATAACAAACGAAGGAGGGCGGCGAACAACCCATGAAACTTCGAAAAGAGTAAAATCTTGCAAACCAATTCAACCCTGAGATCCCGCGACTTGTGAGGTTTTCCGAGGTCGGCGAGATGCTGTTAATATGCCGTTTTTGACTCAACGTTCATCTCATGATTGGAATATGGGACATGGATAGTAGAACTAGGCAAATTATGAAGTAAATTACGCTTACATTGTGTACCTAGGCATATAAGGTAGGATGTATACCCTTGTGGGATTTCCCCGCGGAACTCGGGAGCATTCCCGATCACGCATATTTCTATTTGAACGGGAATGGCTTATCTTACTGAATTTCTCCAAGTGGGGACAATTGGGAATCATATGAGGGGACTTGTAAGCTGTCCAGATCTCCAACTCTGAATGTGATGCTATCTTTCCCCTCATACCGGATCCACCCCCCACCCTTCAAAAGCCCGTCATTTTCCCCTTCTCTTCTTCCTCTGCCATCGTATTCTTGTGAGTTGAATTTTTTTTATCTTGGCACTTTCCGACTTGGCTAACAGTGTTCGAATTTAGAGATCAACATACTCAATGGCTAGCACAGTAGGAAAGGTAAATATCACCCTTGCAATTTTTCTTCACTTTAAACACAAAAAAACACTGGATAACCTTGCTGACTCGGAAATCTACAGACAATCACTTGCAAGGTAAGGTTGATCCGACCGCCCCGCACATATGACGTCGCCCAGCACAGTTCGCATCTGTGAGTCATGAATAGTACTGAACAATTGGCAGGCTGCCGTCGCCTGGGAAGCCGGTGCGCCTCTGTCTATTGAGGACATCGAAGTCGCTCCCCCCAAGGCTGGTGAGGTGCGCATTAAAATCCATCACACTGGTGTCTGTCATACCGGTAAGCCCCGCCATCAGCCCCGCCCTCTGCACGGGAAAAAAAGGAACAAAAGGCCGAGGAAAGCCCGACCTATCAAGACAATTATTAACATGTCTCAGATGCCTACACTCTTTCCGGCAAGGATCCCGAGGGTGCTTTCCCCGTTGTCCTCGGTCACGAAGGTGCCGGTATTGTCGAGTCCATCGGTGAGGGCGTGACCTCCGTGAAAGTCGGCGACTACGTGATCGCTCTCTAGTACGTTTTCGGCTCCGCTCTCGGTGTGAGCGTCCACTGACAATTGTAGCACCCCGGAATGCCGCGAGTGCAAGTTCTGCAAGTCTGGCAAGACGAATCTCTGTGGCAAGATCCGTGCTACCCAGGGTAAGGGGGTTATGCCTGATGGCACATCCCGCTTCAAGGCCCGTGGCAAGGACCTCTTGCACTTCATGGGTACCTCCACCTTCTCACAGTACACTGTCGTTGCCGATATCTCGGTCGTCGCTGTCACTCCCAAGATCCCCACTGATCGATCCTGTCTGCTCGGCTGCGGTATCACCACTGGTTACGGTGCTGCTGTCGTGACTGCCAAGGTCGAGGAGGGCTCCAACGTCGCTGTCTTCGGTGTCGGCTGTGTTGGTCTGTCAGTTTTGCAGGGTGCGGTCAAGAACAAGGCCGGGAAGATCATTGCTGTTGATGTCAACGATAACAAAGAGGCCTGGGCTCGCAAATTCGGCGCTACCCACTTCGTGAACCCCACCAAGCTCTCCGGTAAGACCATTCAGGAGCACCTGATTGAGATGACTGATGGTGGCTGTGACTACACCTTCGACTGCACTGGTAACGTCGGTGTCATGCGCGCTGCCCTC